GCCCTCCATTCTTTCATCTCGGAGTCATAGTTCTTTGCGAATGCATTGTTCTGGAGTTCCTTCTTTTCCGCATCCTTCTCCTCGGAGTACTTCAACTCTGGCTCGTCAAGTTGGATCGTCTTCAACTCTGTAATCTCGTACTGAATGTCTTGCGGGTATTCGTATTCCGCGCACTCGTGTTTCAGTTTCTCTCTGATCAGCTTGGAGGACGCATACTGTTGCCTTCCGGACGAGTTGGGTGCATACTTGTACTCCACTGTTGTCGTCCGCCTCATATTGCTGTTGCTATTGTTGTTCTTCTTCTTTGTCGACCCACTCCTGCCAGAGCCGTTGCCTCTGGTCTTGCTCATGATGGACGACTTGTGTTGGAAACTTGCGTACAAAAGATGCCGTAGCTCTCCAACCGTAGCTCAAACGAAGTTATCGTTCTTCGATATGAGTCCAGCGCGTCGATGCGCACCTATACGGTATACTTGGACGTGTCACTGATGACGTCACGGATGACGTCACTATGACGTCACGTGATGATGTCACGGGATGACGTCACGTGATGATGTCACGGGATGACGTCACGCGATGATGTCACGGGATGACGTCAGCAAAAAACGTCACTGATTCCCGTTTCCGAATCGAGTCGCGATCGGAATTCCGATTCGAGTCAAATGAGTCAATTTGACTCAATGGACTCAACGTGTCAGCGAGTCTTCTTCGATCGAAGAAAGAAGAAGAAAAAGACTGACAATGGCGCTTTTCAAGCCGTTCGGTGGTAACACCTGAGGCTTTCCTTTGTTATCTGTCGATAGTAGCCTATCCAGTGCACTCCTGCGCACACGTGGATACCCTTGGCTTACCTGTAGACGGTCGGAAAGGCGAGATTCGGACCGGTGAAGGCTGCCGATCGCCGTACTAGTTCACGGTTGTCTACGTTCGATCGCTTCTAGAGCGCTGTTCGTACTGGTTCCTTCGCTCCTCAAGAGCACCTGAAGGCTTGTATTATAGTAGTAGTAACTGTGTAAACAGCCTTTTCTTTTTAGATGTTGGTTAAACACTAGAGAGACTGTAGGCCATGGTGGAGCTTATTTTAAAAGTCAGTCTAAAAAGAAAAGTGAGGAATCGCTTTGGTGGTCCAGTCGATTTCGAATTTCAGTCCCGGATACTCATGACTCAACATTGGCTCCAGTCTAGGAGAGGGTTCCATGGTGGAGGCATAGTCACTACCACCGCCAAGTCCGCCTCCAAGGGACCCAAACCCGCTTGTTGGTGAAGGCAATCGTACTGATCCGTCTTTCTTTGGTATGGTGTAAGAGAGAATGACTGAATTAACCCAGGCCAGCACCCATGTCTTGAGAAAGGACGTCACAATGAAGACAAGCTTTGATTCGTCGCAGACATTGCATCCCTCTTGAAGCTTCTTGAGCCAAGTCGATCGGTACCGAATGGAATTGGAATTGAATGAAGGAGCAACTCTCTATCATGCAAGAGCCTTTCCCTTACCCAAACGCCACATGGAGACTTTCAAGGTCGAGGTAGAACACCTCTGCAAACTAGGAAAACTCAAGAAGGCGAACCGCTCGCAATGGGCTGCACCTACTTTAAAGCGGTGTGGTTTCAAAGTTGGCCTGTGAGCGGGGCGGAGTTGAGCTAGACGATCTGATCCAATTTCTAAGCTCAGCCTACGGTACTACGCCCGCAAAGGTGGCTCTTTGGCGGAAACACGATGGCGAGGATCCCAAGAGACGGCGACTACCGACCATCAGACAGCCTGCGGAGAAGTGATACCTGAGCTGGCCTGTGACCTGTGGATGCACAGAGATATGGAGTTTGCTTCTTGCCACGAAGACTTCGATGGACAATGGACAACCGACATGAGAGCCCCTGAAACGCACGCGGTTGTATTATATGTATAACATTTTCACTATGTATTCTACAGATCATACGTATTACACATATAACATGTTTAATATGTATTAGACAAGTCATACGTATAACACAGATAACACAAGTGGAACAATATTATACGTATTACATGTATTATGTGTTGTACGTATTTTACGTATAATACACAGCGACGAATTTTTGCTAAGTTTTTTTGCCAGGTGTTTTCTTAGCAAGGTGTTTTGCCAGGTGTTTGGGAGGCAGAGAGGAAGATGCACTGTTGCAGGCCATAATACCTGACAGCTTATCAAGTAAAATGGACTCTTACCTATCTGAACTCTCCCATGTTGCTAGATACAATATCAATGACGAAGAATGGACTCCTGCTTCAATCATTGTGAATGTAGCAACCTCACTAACTGATGATCCACCAAAGGAGATAAACATTATGGATACTCTGGGGTTCGATAATTATCGAATGGAGAAAACGACGGTGTATTGGCTACCTTCGATGTATCAATCTTGTGATTCGGCGCATATTAAAGAAGTTTTGATGCCATACTTTGTACTTTCTTGCAAGACTGCTGGATTCCGTATCAAAAACAAGGGATTCGATAAGAGGCGGAATCACATTACCATATGTTGTTGTTAAGACTTTTGTTAAGACTTTACTTTATGAACGAACAGGCTCATCTCTAACTTCAAAACAAATCGAATCTCTAAGGAAGAGTCTGCATCAAGGAGTGGTCTTGTCTTTGGTGAAGCCAGACGGTTCCATCTCTCAAGTATCACATCAGGAGGCGACAGCAGCAGATAGGCTACTTGCCAGATTGCAATCCGATCCAACAAAATCGTTCGTTGTTCTTTTTGCCTCATTTGACTCCGGTCTTCTTCGAATCAGACAATCACATAGGGGAGCCACACCTCAGAACATTGATCCTGAAGCACTGACAGATGAATCCGACAGTGCTGAATCCTTTGCGAACAAAGTAAGAGAGGCTCTATCCATTACAGGTTCCAGATTCATCGTCAGAATCCACCATGATGCCTAAACGAAAATACTAAACAAGAAAACAAAAATAACTGCAATGCCTGCGCTGCCGGGTAGTCCTAGACTTCCTGGCTTATGGTTGTACTTGTCTATGTAGTGGCTTGATTGGTCTTGATGGTTGGTGTTTGTTGTGCCTTCATTGTTGACAATGACTGATGAGCAAATGGAAAGTATGATCTCCTTTGGTCCTTTGGGAACGAGACCTCCTGCTTCAGTGAGTAATGGCTTGAGTACGTTGAACTGGTCCGTGATTTTTCCACTTCGTTGCTTTTCTCTGGCATTTCGTTCCAATCGCTGTAGTGCTGGATCTTGACGTTTCTCGTTGTCCGTGTTGGTGGTCCGTGTTGCTGGTTTTGTTTGGTGGTTGCTTGTTGGCTTGTGCCAATGTCGTTGGGCTGCGCGCCGTCTGCTGTGATGTCTGTGGTTCCGTACCTGCACTAGTATTGTTTGAGCGACAGTCTGGAGTAGGAGCAGGAGCAGGAGGACTGGTTTGTGCTTGAGTAAGTGTTTGGGTATCTGATTTGTTTGCAGATGGTGATCCTGTGCTGTCCTCATACATGAAGCCTTCATCATCTGACTGGTATCCTGCCCTCTTGTTGGTGGAACTGCTAGTACCGGTATCAGTGTTGGAAGATGATGACTTGTCAAATTTGCTGTGTCTGCTTGTTGGCTCTGTGTTTGTCTGATGCTATGCTGATGCTTGTGTTTTGGTTGTGTTGCTTCTGCTTGTCCTTGTTTTTATTCTTGTGTTTGCTTCTGTGCTTCTTTCTCTTTGGGCTGACATTGCTCCTGAAAGCAGTATGAGTATGTGCTGGTGTTTGTGTGGGCATGGTACTGTCAGCGTTAGTAGATATAATCTTTCTCTTTTTGTAGGGACCGTTGGAATTGGACGATTCGTCACTTTGTTCTTGTTGATCTTGCTGATCTTGTTGTTCCTGATCTTGTTGCTCTTGCTCTTGCTGATCCTGATCTTCCTGATCTTGTCCACTAGAGTTGGTAGGAGACGAAGGAGTGGAATTGCTACCTCCCCTCTCCCCACTACGCATCCGCATACGTCTCATCGTATCGAACCAAATTTCCCCCAAATTTCCGTTTTCGCTTCCACTGCCGCTGCTAGTTCACCTCTACCATTCTCCATTGTCATTGTCATTTCCATTCTCATTTCCATTATCATTCTCATTATCATTCTCATTTCCACTCCCACACTACTTGCTACTGTTGCCACTGTTGCTACCACTCCCGCTGCAATTGCTGGGAGTGGCAATCAGCCTCTCCTCTCCCATTTCTTCTCTATCTTCTCCTCCTGTAGACATTCTCTCTTATCTCTCCTTATCTCTCCTTATCAGAGCTGTCTTAGTAAAGGCTTAACCCTTCCACCAGGTCAACTGCTACCGGTAGATAGATGGAACGACTGAATGGGGTACTGTATCTCCCTCCACTCTTAGCTTGTCTTGGCTTATCTTATAGGTAGCTTAATAAGGTAGTGGGTATCTATATGGGTAGCTATGGGTATACTAGCTAGCTAGTATGGGTATGGGTATATGGATAGCAATGGAGTGGATCACTAGTAGATACCGTCAGTAATATGCAGGCTGTGGTTGCTGTTGGGCAGAGGTGGACTTGGATGTGACCTTGGCTGTCTGATTTGCTGCTGCTGCTGCTCAGTTTCGTTGTTACTATTCAGTGCGCTAGCTATTTGCTAGAAGGCTGCAGCTGTCCACATTTGTTTGCTCCACGTATTTTCACTACCAGCTCTACACTCCTCAAATACGCACTCTGACCTGGGTAACTTCGTCCTCTGTCGTTGACCCATGTCACCCAATAAAAGCAGACAACTTCAGCTATGCTTTAAATAATAATGGCTACGTCAGACCCAAAGGGCAATTACAACAGTCAACTTGCTTCTTTGTTCACGGAAGATTCCAATCCCAAGCGTGGACATGCTCTTCCCAAAAAGTAGTTATCAAACATCAAAACCATACCAGCGATCGGAAGACACTCCATATGACGTCGAGATTCCGCACCAGATGGCAACACATCGAAGCGAAGCCAGTGTCAACCACATGTGCACGTGCAAACGCAGGGCCTTTCCTGTTCCATGATAAAATAGCAGGGCTGTTGGCAGCTGGCCTTGAATCTCTTCACTAAAGCAAAAGCTATGCCTTGCCATCATCCATATAGGAACTATCGAATTACACACCTGGATGCTGGTTGGATTGTATCGTTTGGCCTCATGCTCAGTCAAGCCTTTTGCCATTTACTAATATGCATAGCTACTAGTACAGCCAGCTGCATGTAATGTATGTTTAGACTAGATCTACCTAAAATGCATGAGCGGCGGCTCCAAACATGGCACCAGCGGCAGTCACTGCCATCCCCTTCAATCCTCGACTCGATCCATGCAGACCTTCGTCCCCCACCAACACTTCGCAATCGTCCGTAGGAGGAAGATTCAAACCCGCCAAAATCTTGCTCATCACTCCAATCTCGTGATTCTGACGATTCACGATACCATACAACAGCGATTGCATGATACAGTACGGATCCTCCTCATTCGTCAAATCGTCACATGGTAAAAAGCCAGCCTTTAACAATGCCTTGGCCATGTTCACGGCGTTCTGATGATGCGGAATCATTTGATGCACAAACAAGGCCAATTCCGTCTTGGACGAAACCTTGGTCGTCATGCCTGAAACCAAGAGGGGAAAAACCAAAAATGCGCGTATTAGAAACAGACAAAACAAGCGATGGAAAGTACTACAATGTCATGTACTGGGCGCAGTTCTAACTAGCTAATGATCCATCCATCACTCACCAAGTATCATGTGGCATCCCGGTAGCATATCAAAAACAAAACGGGCAGGTTGGTGAGGGAATACAACAGTTGGTTGGATGATGCAAAGGAGATGCACAGCCAAGCACGTACCATGGCGTCGATGCAGGAAGCAAAGTCTCTCATGCGTTCATCGACATCGCAAACGAATCGATCGGGGCATTGAGGATGCGGTAGTTGGAACTGGAAAAAGACACAACGAAACACAAAGTAAGCAAGTGAGTCTAGATGAAGTAAGCAAAAGAGAAGCATTCTGAAGAGGATCGATGGTTGTACTGCAGCCTTGTACTCACCGCATCCAAACCGTAGGTTCCACACATGGCATCGAACTGTCCCGGTGTTTCCATTTCAAAGTACATGGGTGGATCGTCCTGTTCATTGACAGGAACCCCGTTCTTGAGTAGCTTCATTCGTCCGGCCATGAACTGATGGATTCGACAGTAATAGAAAATATCCTTTCCAGTGTACGATTCATCGTCGAACTTGAGTTGGATGGAAAAAGTTCCGAATCCGGTCCAAGTGGCCATGGACTTGAAGAAAAAGTCTTCGTATAGTTCGAGTCCAATGTCGTGTTCGTTGCTTGTGATGGGTGCAACTTCTTTAATGTTGCTGTACGTTCCCAGATACCCATCATTCAAAAAGTACATGGGAGCAGGGCAGGTCATGTTGGTGGCACAAGTGTCTGCTGGACCATTGGCAGAAGCAGCACTAGTAGTGGTAGTTTGCTGATTTGGCAAATTACTAATGATGGAGTCCCCACCGTCATTGCCCTTGGTACGTGGATCTAGGAGTTCTGCTCCCACGTGATGAGCATCTGGAAAGTAGCTAAAATCAATGGGATGCCAGTAATTGCTTTTGTGCTTTTGGATAAAGGTGTAGACTTGTCCAAATTCCAGGCCAATGGTTGGATTGACCCAGTCTTCCCCGCATTCTTCAAACACATAGTAGCCTGGTGCAAGTGAAAATAAAATGACAAGAATAAGGTTGGGGTTAGACCTGAAGCAACAGCAACAGCGAACGACGTCTCCACCATGCCAACAACGGCTTGTATTAGGTAGCTATGGTAGCTTAGCTACTAGAGACAGCTGGCTAGCTAGTTGTACAATGATGATGAGCACCACTCCACCCATCAACCTAGATAGTCATACTAGCTAGCTAGATACTTCAAGCTAGATACTGCTTTCGCTTACCTCTCTCAGACGCGTGGATGTCTACCTTGGCTGTGTAGGTGTTGGTAGGCGAAACGCAAATCTCGCCGTTGCGTCGCAATTCGGCGGAAACACTCGAAAGGCCAGACAGCAGCAATGCCACATGTACTACTAGTAACGTTGTGTAACAGGCATCATCGTGGATGAAGAGGATGATGATGATGATGCCAACAGTTTCATGGTGCTCAACAAAAAAGAAAAATAAATGGAACAACAAAAACAGGAACACAAAAACCAACAGCAAGAATAAAGAAATGGTGATGTACCAGGCTGCTACTAGCTAGCTAGCCAGTACTGTACATGTGTTCCGTTACTATACTCTAGCTAGCAAGCCAAACAAACAGCCAAAATCTCGGAGAAACAGAGAAAAGCCTCTATCAGGAGTCATTTCAACCTTTAAAAAGACTGTCTTCCGCACTGGTTTGTCTCGGTGGGAAGCCGCATGAGAACAACAACATTGTTCTAGGTGACGCGACTCAGTCACTCAGTCTCTCAATTCATGTAGAGACAAGTTAGTTGATTACATCTGTGTAGAGGGTTGCTTGTGCTTGCCGTTTGAATGTTGGAGATGCTGCTTCAGTAACTTTGGTAGAAGCCCACTCTCAAAACACTGTCACTTCCTGCCAATCTCTGGCAGTTGGCTGCCAGCTACTTCTGGAGTACGTACGGTAGAGATGACAGTGCTCATCAGTCACTCACAGATGGTTTTGTGAAGAATGGTACCAGGAACCAGGTACCCAATGCTTTAGCTGCTGCTTCGAAAAATCACTTCCTGCCAATCTACATGTATCTGACTCCAGGCTAGCTAGCTAGTAGCCAGCTAGAGATGGCAGCATCCTCGTCTATCACTGATCGTTTTGTGTAGAAGGATACAAAAGCTTTACTCGAAGTGGAGCTTTTCCACTGACTCTCTGGCTATTATAGTGTACCGTTGCAGCTTCGTCTTCACAAGCACTGCTCATCTATTTCATCATTTCATTCTTGATCATTTCACACTTCATTCAGTGCAGAGTTTCTTGTGAATTGCGAAGTGGCTTCTTATCAGACAGCTGTTTCGAGGTGTTCTGCACAAGCCAAAAGAACAATGACTGGAGAAAGTACCGTGGACATGGAGCTGTATGCCAGAAACCAGAGCCGAACTTTACCACCTTCTTTGGCAGCTTCTCTGGCAAGGAATAGACGCCAAGACGTCCATTGTCCATTTGACAGATCCTTTCCATGGAAACAGTACATGTACTACGTACCGCTACTGCTTGTGAGGCCTCCCTTCCCCTTCTCTGCAGATTGAATGAATCGAATCATTAAATTTGCCATTCTAATGACTTTCCTATAATTAGTCCGGCCACACATCACTACTGCGATTTTTTAAATAGTCAGTGGTTGCTTTCTGCCAGCGGTACAGTCGTACAGTTCTGTACCATAATTCAATTGACATTAATTTTCTTTAATAACGCCCAATCCCAGATTGCAAAAAGAGCTGCAAAGTCACTTGGAAACTCTTGAGTCTTGGATTGACGACAGTAATACAGACAACAGTACCATTGACAAGTTAAGGTACGCATGTACGGCTTTCTTACGACCGCAGAGAAGCAAAAAAGTGGTTGTGTAAATGAATCCGAATGATCAAACTGTTGCTGCTTCGTTGGGCAGCTTCTGGTTGCGTTACCGGCACTACGCAGCTCGCCTTGGCTACTAGCTAGCTAGCCAGTGGCCAGCATGCAAGAGCAGTTCGTTTTGGGCAAGGATATGCAGATTAATTTTGTCGTCTGAGGCGCAGTGCTTTCTCGCTCCTCGCTTAGCTAAATCTAAAATAAATGTTGCCAGCTAGCTAGAAACCACGTCAGAGTAAACTTTACTGCAACAGCTGCAACAGTACTAATAGAGTTTCCTTATCGATTGTTGCTCTTTTGCCTTATCAACTGCCATGGTGCTCCAGTGCTCCAGAGTACTAGCTAGTACAGATCGTGCGCTGAGCATTAATTATCATTCCTTCTCAGTACGACTATAGCTGGAAAATTGTGACGACTTTGGCGTGTCGGCTGGTACGTAACGCGATGAGGAGGAGAGTAGAGGATACGGTCGTACCTACGTACCTGCGCTGTACCGGTAGGAGAGCCCCTGAAACGCACCGGTTGTATTATACGTATAATTTTCACTATGTATTCTACAGATCATAGTATTACACATATAACTTTTAATATGTATTAGACAAGTTATACGTAAACACAGATAACACAAGTGGAAAATATTATACGTATTACGTATTATGTGTTGTACGTGTTTTACGTATAATACATAGTGACGAATTTTTGCTAAGTTTTTTTGCCAGGTGTTTTGCTAGGTGTTTGAGGCAGAGAGGAAGATGCACTGTTGCAGGCCATAATACCTGACAGCTTATCAAGTAAATGGACTCTTACCTATCTGAACTCTCCCATGTTGCTAGATACAATATCAATGATGAAGAATGGACCCTGCTTCAATCATTGTGAATGTAGCAACCTCACTAACTGATGATACACCAAAGGAGATAAACAATATGGATACTCTGGGGTTCGATAATTATCGAATGGAAAAATCGACGGTGTATTGGCTACCTTCGATGTATCATCTTGTGATTGGCGCATATTAAAGAAGTTTTGATCCATACTTTGTACTTCTTGCAAGACTGCTGGATTCCGTATCAAAAACAAGATAAAAACAAGGGATTCGATAAGAGGTGGAATCACATTACCATATGTTGTCCAAGGAGTGTTTTACAAACAAAGGTCCCAAAAGGAAGCAACAAAACCACCCAGACTCAGCTTCTGTTGAGGGGAGGGTGTCAAATGTCATTCTCTTTCAATGTTCTATAGCCAGGAACACAGACGATGTATCTACCCAAGTTCCAGACAGGCAACAAGCTTCATCTGGCCATGTACAACTGAAAGGCACAAGTGAAAGTGTTAAGTATCATCTTGGCACAGAAGCCGTTACACTAGCGGAAATGCCTAAAGAACCACCTCGCCAAGTGTTGTTAAGACTTACTTTATGAACGGACAGCTCATCTCTAACTTCGAACAAATCGAATCTCTAAGGAAAGTCTGCATCAAGGAGTGTCTTGTCTTTGGTGAAGCCAGACGGTCCATCTCTCAAGTATCACATCAGGAGGCGACAGCAGCAGATAGGCTACTTGCCAGATTGCAATCCGATCCAACAAATCGTCGTTGTCTTTTTGCCTCATTGACTCCGGTCTTCTTCGAATCAGACAATCACATAGGGGAGCCACACTCAGAACATTGATCCTGAAGCACTGACAGATGAATCCGACAGTGCTGAATCCTTTGCGAACAAAGTAAGAGAGGCTCTATCCATTACAGGTTCCGGAATGATTTTGCTTGCACTTGCCTGGACGAGTGAAAGTTCCCAGAGATTGTTCCAAATGTATCCCGAGTTCAAGTCTGGTGATATTACCTACAAAACAAACTCAGAAAAGAGGGAATTGCACATCGAGTCTGGGCTAGCTGCTGCCGATGGGCAGTCGTTCAGCCACACAGGACCAGATTCATCGTCAGAATCCACCATGATGCCTAAACGAAAATAACTAAAAGAAAACAAAATATGGAGACAACGAACACGGGTAATACGTATAATACAGGTGATACGTATAACACGGGTGATATGATAATACATGTTACACCTGTTACACGTATAACACGGGTGATACAATAATACACTTACATGCATAACACGTGTTACACCATAACACGTGTATACACACGTAACAGTGTTAAGCTAACACGTGTTGCGCGCTGGCTGAGGTACTTACATGGTTCAGTACTGGTCCCTACAGAAAGTGGTTGACGAAGTGGTTGACAATGTAGAATTCAAGGCCAGTCTTCCACAGGCTTTGTCAGTGAGCCTTAGAAGTATATGAATGCAAAGAGAATGGTCCTGAAGGTGTACAGGGCCTGAGGAAGAGAGGAGGCAGAAAAATGGAGAATGAGTTGAATGAAGAGAAATCATTCTATCTTTCCACAGAACATCTTCTTGGCTTCAACAAAACCATACCACATTGCCTACTTACCCACATGATGGTGCTATCTTCAAATAACAAGAGAAACCTTTGTATCTTCAAACAAACAAGAGAAGAGAGGTTGTTGTCATATGGTGGTTCTTTGTGGTGGAGATAGTCAAGTCATTTTGCGAAACTCGAAGGTCACGGTGGTGCTGGCTGCGCGTACGTGTTATACGTGTTATACGAGTTATACGAGTGATACGAGTGATACAAGTGATACGAGTATAGCGAGTTACGAGTGATACGAGTAACATCGCGTGCGTTTCAGGGTCTCTCGAGGGCAGTACTACCTTACGCCTCGAGGCTTTCTGTGCAGTTTTTTGATTTATTTGAAAACCGACCATCCGAGCATGGAGCAGATCGAGACTAGAAAAATGAGGCATCTCTGTCGTGGATTATGGAATCTCTAAGTGGATGTTAAATAACATGACGTTGTAGAGAACTCCTGTACTTCGGTATTCAAGTGCTGTTAAGTAGGTGTACCGGTACACCGGTACCTCACGTTTCTTTGGGCTAGCTTGGTGGTAGAAAAAGTACATGTACTTTTTTGTAGAAACAAAGCTGCGACTGTGAGGGACCAAAGGAATGAAGGAGGCAAGAGGTCTAGCTAATGGCCAGCTCATCACCTATCGCTATAAGGAGCTACAGCGTACCGGCACAGAGACACATCGTAAGTATCAAAGTGGGGCAAGATGTGGAGACTCAATGAAGAAGCGACGAGGAATCTTGTAAAGCCGTGGCGGAAGAAGAAGGCATCCTTGTTCTTTATTACCCTCGCTGTCCTAGCGTTGGTGCTCATACTGGACCTCGCATTGGCCCCTCATCCAAGGCTGCACGTCCAGAGTCTCAAGGTAGACGTCTCCGAGCCAGTTCCGCTTGCTATTGCGGAACTAGATCTGAAACAAGGGAGCTTCTTCTCCCGCCTTGAGCCTCGAGGAGTGCACTGCTCCCTAGAGCCACGTCCACAAGACGACGAAACGGAGAATATCACTGCTGTTATTGATATAGACGTACGACTGGAGAAGAAGGACAATCTCTACCGATTAGTAGCCTCACCAGACGAAGAAGATGTGGATCCCTTTGCAGATATTCTCTGGAAGTCAATGACACGTCAGGACAAATCTTCCATTTTGGAGACGGTTGTGTGCTCCTTCAAGGTCAAAGTTCACGTGGCTCATCTGATTCCTATTCCGATCACTCGCAAAGTGGAACTATCCGAAGAGTTGGTAGACAAACTCTTGAATTCTCAAGCAGAGCGCGAAAAAATGCGGGTCCGCGTCATCTCCACCGAAAACAATGTGAATGCCACCGGCGAAAGTACAGCATCTCCTGTGCGATTTGATGCATTGAAACTTGGCCTGTCAATCCCAACACCGGCATTTGCGGACTCGGCAACCATTGTGCTCCCAGAACTTACCGCGACTGTCCAGCCCAATAACGTTTCTGGGTGGAAGGTTCACATGGAGGAGACCGAATACATGTTTTCGACCCAAGGCGATGGAATCGCACTGGCGATCACCTGCAACTCACCGGACTGTCCTTGGTTCCAGCCGTTGATAGATCTGTATTTCCATCGTGCCAGTAAGATTATGCTCTCCGTCCAAACTTCCAAAGCATCCTTCCTTGAGGCCATGTTGGGGAGTCAGCATCAATTCTCGGTCGATTTCGAAAAAAAGCCACTCCCAACAATTCCCTCGCGATTCCTGCAGCTTGCCAATATTTCCCTTCCACCCTACATTCCACCCATTCCACCTGTTCCCTGTGCTCCTATTCCTGCCTCTTTCAATGCGACTTCTATTACTTATAATTCGTCATGCACGGAGAATCCTTCATCCCCGAACATCACGCGAACACCAAGGCCCACGAACCTGCCGACGCCAATGCCCACGAACCTGCCGACGCCAATGCCCTCGTACGCGCCGACGTACATGCCATGGGACATTCCTACACCACATGCCGATCGTACATGGATTTCCCACGTACACCACCAACACCACTCCAACCCCTCCATCCCAACTCCTTCCAATTCACCCACTCCTCCAACTCCTCCACCCACTCCACTTCCAACTCCTCCACCCACTCCACTTCCAACACCACCCCCATCGAACTCGCCGACGCCAATGACGTCACGGCCAACACCGTCTCCCACCCCCGTTCCAGATTCAGATGAATTAGCCGAGTGCATGGCCCTCACAAGCGACAATGACAGTTCCGCCTTTCAATATGACTTGTGCTTTCTCCTTGAGCCATCCAAAGGAATGTCTCTGGTCAGTAAGGTCGAGGTTTATGATTACATCGGGGGAGCCCATGCCAGTTCAACGTGGGAAAGCATCAGCTGGGAACGAGTTCAAGTGGAAACAAAGGCGAGAATTGCGCTGAACAGCGACAATGATACAATCAACTTGCAAGGAACCTTCTTGTTCGATATCAGAGATGACACCAATCTTCAGCTTGATGCTGACTTTGTCAACGACGGGTCCTGGTGGCCTTTTGTAGTGTCGCTCAACTGGAATGGGTACTATGCCGGAAACGTGCTCCGAATGAGCATGAGCAACGGACAAGTCCAGCTTGTCGGAGAACAAGACCTGCTGACCAACGCGGTTGGTTCTGCTATTCTCGATATTGATCAGCAAACTTTTGAGAGCACTGTCGCAGACACCCAAGTCCAGTTTGATGCCGGAGGTTGGATAATGGGTGAACAGTCAGTTTCGGGCAGCAGCTCTCTTGTGGTAAAAGGCGACACAATTTGGAATGCAGTAGTGGATGGAAAGCTTCAAGTGAACGCTTATGATGACTGGATGGCGTCCATGGAACTCATGGATCAAAAGTTACAGGTTGCCCTAGATGGACAATTGCAGCAGCAGGACTTGGCGGCAAGTTCCATGTGCAAGTTCAACGGAAAGGTCATTTGGAATACGATTCTTCAAGGAATGGTGCGAGCCGCCAACAGAGAGCTGGCAATTACAGCAGAGGCCATTGATGAGGCACAAATGCTGCAGCTGTCAACCGATATTGTTGCCAGTGACTACTCGAGGGATTTATCCCTTGCAGCAACAACTGAATCTGCTGCATTCGGGAAGCATGCTGTATTTCTTTTGGTTTTTGATGTTTTCTTTCTGTTATCTTTTTTTTCTTTGTTTTTGATTTTTTTTTTTATTTGTCTGTTTTAGTTTTTTATTTGTCTTTTTTCTTTTTTTGCATTGTTATTTGTATTCTGCTTTTTCTTTGTTGTTTTGTTTTATATCCATTACAGGTTCCGGAATGATTTTGCTTGCACTTGCCTGGACGAGTGAAAGTTCCCAGAGATTGTTCCAAATGTATCCCGAGTTCAAGTCTGGTGATATTACCTACAAAACAAACTCAGAAAAGAGGGAATTGCACATCGAGTCTGGGCTAGCTGCTGCCGATGGGCAGTCGTTCAGCCACACAGGACCAGATTCATCGTCAGAATCCACCATGATGCCTAAACGAAAATACTAAACAAGAAAACAAAAATAGGTGAGACAACGAACACGGGTAATACGTATAATACAGGTGATACGTATAACACGGGTGATATGTATAATACATGTTACACCTGTTACACGCTAGATACGTATAACACGGGTGATACATATAATATACGTTACATGCATAATACGTGTTACACCATAACACGTGTTACACGCGTAACACGTGTTGCGCGCGTAACACGTGTTGCGCGCTGAGGTACTTACATGGGTTCAGTACTGGTCCCTACAGAAAGTGGTTGACAATGGTAGAATTCAAGGCCAGGTCTTCCACAGGCTTTGTCAGTGAGCCTTCAGAAGTATATGAATGAAAAGAGAATGGTCCTGAAGGCTGTACAGGGCCTGAGGAAGAGAGTGGAGGCAGAAAAATGGAGAATGAGTTGAATGAAGAGAAATCATTCTATCTTTCCACAGGAACAGTCTTCTTGGCTTCAACAAAGCCATACCACATTGCCTACTTACCCACAATGATGGTGCTATCTTCAAATAACAAGAGAAACCTTTGTATCCTTCAAACAAACAAGAGAAGAGAGGTTGTTGTCATGGTGGTTCTTTGTGGTGGAGATAGTCAAGTCATTTTGCGAAACTCGAACGGTCACGGTGGCTGACTGGCTGGCGCGCGTGTTATACGTGTTATACGTATTCTACACGTAAGACGTATTACACCGGTTATACGAGTTATACGTGTAACATCGCGTGCGTTTCAGGGTCTCTCCGCAGAGTCTTCCACTCTGACTAAATTTAATGTACTTCTGAGTCGAAAAAAGAGAATACAGCCGTACTTGCAAGGGAAGCATCGGTAAAACTTTCCAACTTTTCACTCTTTGTTGCAGTCTCAGCTGTTTAGCTCATGGTCATGGTGGCTTTTGACCATTATCATAAGTCTATTCTGGACCAATGAGAGAGCTCCATCATATATGCATGAGTGTCTGCCAGCAGAAGGTCTACGACAGACATTTCCATGGGGTCATTCTGTGTTTGGATTATTGCCTGCCAAAAAAAGGCCTTCACTGTTGACGGGCGTACCGGAAGACAGAAGAAGGGTAAAAAGCAATTACGATCCCGCGACAAGGTGCTAGTACTAGAACACCGTAGATCTCTACGGAAGCCTTCACCGAGCACAGGTGGAAATAAATAACCAGCTAGATGCCGCCTGCGCACTACTAGCTAGTATCGCTGCACACACTCCACAAAAAGCAAAAAAGCAAAAACAAAAAGTCGACCATGAGCAACCCAATGGCACCCACTAGCATTTTGAAACCCGTCGAGACGTTTGTAGACGAACCGAGTGACTTGGAATTGAGCGGCGGCAGTATTAGCTTTGCGAACGACAACGAAGAGCTCAAGGACGAAGCCATTGACAGTACAAATCCTACGGGAGAGATTACGCTGGACGCGCATAGCGACAGCGACGACGACGACTACGACGATGACGAAGACAAAGGCAGCGCCGGCAAGGGCAGCAGTACAGAAGATGAGCCGCAAATTGACGCTAAAGAAGAACGAGCTGTCGTCGCTAGCAAAGTCCTAGTGGCCTTCGTGCTGCTAGTTTCCGCTGGATTGCTAGCGTTCTTCTCGTATTACTACACGCGGACCGAAGAAGAGACAGAATTCCAAAGCAAGGCAAGTCACCCATTTTAGCAGATCGCTGTCTTATTTTCTTCTGGTTCCGATTTCTAACTCTATTCTTATCTCGAATCGCGTTCTCATTTTTTTCAATCCCACACGACTCATCATTCACGAATTACTCAGTTTCGGGATTATGCCTTAGAAATCATCCGCTCCAGTTCCAACAATGCCGGCAACAGTTTCTCAGTGCTCGAGACGTTCTCACGCACCATCACTTCTCTAGCACTCTTCTCCAATCATTCCTTTCCGTTCATTACACTCCCAGACTTTGAAGTTAGAGCGCACGACTTTCAGTCCGTATCAGGTGCCGAGGAAGTTGCTTTTGCGCCATTTGTGCACGATAAGGACAGAGAAGACTGGGAAGCGTACACTGTAAACAACCAGCAATGGATCCAACAAGGACTCGACTACGAGTACATGGTGTCCATCATGGGCAGAATGGTACACGACGAAGAGGAACACAGAAACAACGGACAAACACCAAGCACCATTGCTCCCGGAACAAACATGGAAGGATTCTCTGTACTCAACAAGGCTAAACCCATTCAACCCTTCATTTGGAAACATGCACCTTTCACACACAAGGCCATTCCAGAACAAGACAAGGGGCCACTTGTACCTGTCTGGCAGACATTCCCAGCACCCCGAAACTCATATGTCGTCAACCACAATCTGAGGTCAACCCCCGAATTCTCTGCCCTCTTTCAGATGTCCATCAACAACAGAACCACTGTGCTATCCGATATCGTCGACAACTTTAAGCTATTCGGCACGGCACAAACCATCAGCGTGGACCCAAAAAGTGTGGTCCTACAACCCATCTGTCAAGGATTGCACGACACCGCAAGCGGCATTGTCGGATTCCTCATTGTCATCAAAAAGTGGCAAAATTACTTTGAAAACGTTCTTTACAATGGAGCCGAACCCGTCATTGTCGTCCTGCGAAACTCGTGTGGCAAGGCATTCACATATCAGCTTGTTGGACCTCAAGCTGTATTCCTCGGAGAAGGAGACTTGCACGACATCAAGTACACACACATGCGTATTAGCAGTCCCTTTGCCCATCGAAATGTCCAGCCCGAATGTGACTTCACCATTGACGTGTACCCCACACAAACAATGGAAGAAACCTACCTGACCAACATGCCAGTATACGTCACCATGGTGGTCATTCTCGTGTTTGTCTTCACCACGCTCGTGTTTATTCTGTACGACTTTTTTGTCTCCAAACGACAACGCAAGACCATGGCATCGGCAAACGCTACCAACCGAATCGTCAGCAATCTGTTCCCCAAGGCCGTTCGAGATCGACTCATCCAGGAAATGGGAACCACAGATGCAGACAACATGAGTGTCGTGAGCGGGAACAGCGGACAGTTTCGAAATCCAAACGCATCCAAGAAACGAGCGTCCACTGCCTTTTTGAACATTTCGCTTCACGGAAGTAGTCACGGGAAAAAAGCACTCAAAGGAGCAAATTCTTCGGAAGCATTGAGAGGTGGGGGTGGAACCAGTGAAGATATATTTGGTTCCAAGCCGATTGCAGAGCTCTTTCCAGAAACTACCATCATGTACGTGCTCATGACTCGCCCTATTTCAAGTAATTGTTTGTGCGGTACACTTTGGCTGCATGGTTGGCCCATCCAGGTGTCAAGCTAGTTGCTCACCATTTTGTTCCTCTACGAATCCGTACGGTTGTATCTTCAGGTTCGCTGATATGGTTGGTGAGTCGAGTGACAGTCTGTGGGATGCCGAAGTTCTCAAACGGATCTGACCAGGCTCAGGTTCCTATTCTGTGTCTCATACTCCATTTCCCGCTTAAATCATTTCATCGCCACCTTTCGAAGGTTTCACGGCGTGGTCGTCGATTCGGGAGCCTACACATGTGGTAAGCAAACTGAAACCTGCAATGGAATCGAATCATGCACTGGGTTCGTGTAATTTGGTTTCCCTCACTCTCCCTTTTTCAGTTTCTACTTTTAGAGACCGTTTACCATGCCTTTGATAGTATGTACCTTTCAACAAGCTGAACAAACTGTGCAGCGCCAAGCACACATGCTCACCACTTGTTTCTTCGTCAGCAATTGCAAAACGCAGAAGAGTCTTCAAGGGTGAGGCTGGACTCGGGATGTCCGATTGAGTCAGGATCCTAATTGCTGTTTGGTGTCTAACGTTATTCTTGACCTCTGTTCTGCAGTTGAAACAATCGGTGACTGTGTACGTTAACACATCCGTTGTTGAAGGTGTTGGCAACCCTTTTGTTCGCCCCTGACCATTTCGGCTCTTCCCCTGCTTCAACAACAGTATGTCGCTGTTTGCGGTCTACCCATGCCACGAAAGGATCATGCAGTTGTAATGTAAGTCACTGGCTGTGATCTGTGCTGTATCCTTTTCCTGATCATCTCACCATCTGACTCATCTTCGTCCTTCTCGTGATTACAACCAACAGGTGTCGGTTCGCTTCGGAGTGCTTGTCAAAAATGGATATTCAAGTAAAGAACCTCGAGGCTCAGCTCGGTGCGTTCTCTGTTGATGTTTGAGCGCCGTGTGTTTAGTTAAGGAATGTCGAGGAACCTAATTTTTCTCTTTCTCGTTGTTTTCAGGCCCAGACACTGGCGATCTCTCGATTCGGGTTGGATTACACAGCGGACCTGTCACAGCTGGCGTCCTTAGGTAGGCACCAAGCGGCGACGGAACTTGGAAAGAGAGTATCGACCGCACGTTTTGTTTTTAACTCCTTTTTCGTTGTCCATCAAAAGGGGCGAGAAAGGACGTTTCCAGTTGTTCGGAGACAGTACGTAACCCATATGTAGCCGTGATGAAGCGACTCTGGTGGTTGCTGACAGCTCACCTCTTTTTGATTCAATCGTTTCCAGCCATGAATACGGCCAGTCGAATGGAGTCCACTGGAATGAGAGGACGAATTCAAATATCTCGTAAGTCGCAGACGTCGCTCCAACGATGGAATTACATGACGCTTCCTCTGCTAATCGCCTGCGCTCTACTCCGATTTGCAGGAGAAACCGCAGCTTTGATTAAGACAGCTGGCAAGGAAAACTGGATTACAGAAAGAGAAGAAAAGGTTCACGCCAAGGGTACGAAGATTGCAAATGAAGTGATTCAACCCTCGTTTGACGTACTGTTTCTCACACGGTTACCTGTAATGCTTGACCGACCCTATAGGCAAGGGTGAATTGCAAACGTTCTGGATGGTGATTCGTGGTGGTTCGGACAACGATGGCGCTTCGGTCGTCGCCAGTGCTGCCGATCCTTTGGAAGGCGATTCGATGCACCAAGTCAACGACGACATGGAATGTGCTCCACTGAACGGAGATGGTTCCATTAGCGCCCGCAACACCTTTGTCAATCGTTTCAGCTCCAAGATATTGGAAGTGGCCGCTGCAGCGAAGAAGCGACGCTTAGTCGAGTGGAACACGGAGATTCTGGGTAAGCTGCTGAAGCAGATTGTTGTCAGGAGGGCAGCGAGAAGGATCAAAAAGAAGCAGCTTGGACTGTATGGAACTACAAGCACGAAGGAACCTGCCGTCGACATCTCCTTCGACCAAGTGCCTCCGAGTGGAGATGCAATCGAAGAAGTTAGAGAAGTTATATCTCTTCCTCATTTTGACCCAAAGAACTTTGCGAAGAGTGTCCACCCTGATTCCATCGATATGCCGGAGGCGGTCCTGATTCAGCTGAACGCCTTCATCTCCCGAGTTGCTGACTTATACCAAGGAAACCCCTTCCACAACTGTAAGATGTGACTGGTTTTTTGGTTCGTTTGATTTATCAACCCACCGACTCAATACACCAGCTTTGTCCTCTTTTTGCCATGACCAGTTGAACATGCTTCCCATGTTACAATGAGCGTGACGAAACTCATGTCAAGAATCGTCAATCCTCTCCAAGTAGAAGCCCCTGCACGCGAAACCGACAAACTCCTCCACGACCATACTTTTGGTGCGCTAAAAGAGCCTTTTGCTGGAATCTTACTTCCGTGCTTTATCATACTGACCTGTCTTGCTTCATTACCCGTTTTAGGCATTACTTCCGACCCTCTAACTCAGTTCGCGTGCGTGCTCAGTGCTTTGATTCATGATGCGTAAGTCTGCTCTTGTTGGACGGTATAATATGAGGACATGATCAGCGCCAGTGGTTGCTCACCGCTCGTTTCCCTGGTTCGTTCTGTGGTGTTAAAGTGACCATCCGGGCGTATCAAATTCCGTCTTGGTGAAGGAGAAAGACCCTCTCGCCCTCAAATACAAAGACAAGAGTGTGGCTGAACAGGTACGAAGGGGTGATCCTAGCTGGACTATGGTTCTATCCACTATTCTGTGAAACTGACGTGCTCAATCCTGCCTCTCTTGAAGAACTCGGTTGACTTGGCATGGAGCATCCTCATGAGCCACGAGTACCAAGACCTGCGAGAGACCATCTACACCAGTGAAGATGAGTTCCAGCGCTTCCGACAAGTAAGGATCGCGCCTTTTGTAAAAATCATGCTGGGAAATTTACGTCTTGCCTTGTGCCCAAATGTCTAATTGCATGTTGCCGCCTGTCGTTTGCCAACGCAGATTTTGGTGAATACTGTTCTGGCCACTGATATCATGGACAAGGAATTAGGAGCCCAGGTGAGTCCAGGGAACGAGTGTTGTGGCCATGTGTGATGTGCCAAACAGACGGCCTCACTGCTTGCTTTCTCCGACATTCAGCGCAAGGCACGTTGGGACAAGGCTTTTAGGGCTGGCAGCGTCAGTGTCAGCAGGAGCGAACACAGCAGTACTGTGCACAGCAGCTGCGCTGATGAAGTTCAGTGTGATGTGAACAGGAAGGCAACAATAGGTAAGTCAAATACGTTCCAAAAGGCTGGCGTTTGTGCTCTTGTGCAAACCATGGATACTCACGATGTGTACTACCGCAGTTCTCGAACATTTAATCCAAGCTTCTGATGGTAAGCTTGCTGCATGCGAAAGATTGATTACGGCTTCCGTTCTCTCAACCTGCCACTCACATGACACCTTGTGTTGCCTGCCTTCCTACGCGCTTCGTTCTCACCAGTGGCCCACACCATGCAGCATTGGCATGTCTACAAGTAAGGACGATGAACCTCATTAAGTGCATACCTAGCTTTGTAAGACCAGTGTATCTCACAGTTCTCCTCCTATATCACTATTAAAAGAAAATGGAACGAACGCCTGTTCTGCGAGGTATACCAATCCTATTTGGATGGTCGCATTGAGGCTGATCCTTCCGTAGGCTGGTACAAGGGTGAAATTGGATTCTTTGATTTTTACATCATCCCACTTGCCAAGAAGCTCGAAACCTGTGGTGTCTTTGGTGTTTCGAGTATGGAGTACCTGGGCTATGCCGAAGCCAACAGACGGGAATGGCAAGACAAAGGCGAGTCCATTGTTCAAGAATACCTCTCAAAGTTCAAAACGGATGAGACTACCTAGTTGGCAGGTGTCAGTTAGAATGGGGGGCCACGGGGTTCATCAACTGTACAAACAAACGTTAGAAAACTTCATTATTTCGTAGGTGCGTGATCTACAATTGTAGCTTGTCCTGAGCCTACCGGTACAAGCGAGGATGTTTCGTTGGGAAACATGTTTTCTCGAGCACTGACCTTTGGCAGCAGCTATTGGGCGCCTGAAGAATGGAAACAATGACATGATCTCTAGAAATCATTCTTTGCCTCGAGCGCTGGGGTCCTCGCACGAATGGTCACTTCACACAGCAACATAACTATCGCAATGTTATAAAATTGTTTTTAAAGTACATGTACAGCGTTGTCTTAGTGAATCGTGTATCTGTGAAGAGGACATCATGGGACATCAGAGTAATCAGGCAACGCCACCGAATCATGCAGAAGGATTGCAAGTCAAGTCGGGGAAGCCCAACTTTTGATCCATGGCAGGGTCGTCGGGCTCAATAAGGTGGGGCTTCTGGAGAAAGCTAATCTTCTTGCTGCTTTCGTCCGAATCCCCAATCGATTTATCCACCATGTTTGTTTGGATGCATCCAAAATCAGACGCAATCACGGAAAGGCCACGCCGAGGTTTCTCCTCTTGAAGTGGTGGCTCGTGGCTCGTCTGAGTGGCCAAGAAGTCTCGCAATGCCGTCAAGACAATCGGTTTTCGCATGAAGCCATCAAAGCCTTCGCCAAGACATCGTTGTTCTGTTTCAGCGGTCCAATCAGCTGCGGAACAAACGATGCAGTAGAGAGAGTTCTAACGGGTTAGTAACTCTAGCGGTCGAAAGGCGGGAGCAATCCGCAACACGCCAAAACTCACCAGAACAAGCAACGACAATGGGACGGGTCTTTTGATAGACAGGGAGATCCTTGAGTCGAAGGACAAAATCAAAACCACTCATAGCAGGCATTTCCAGGTCAGACATGATCAGTTGAGGAAGGTTCGATGCGTCTTTCGTTCGTCGAAACCAAGACAGCGCCTTGGTGGCATCCGTGAATGTTTGCACGTGAGGGACACCTAGACGGCCAAGCATTCGTTTCAAAACCTTCAGGTTGATCACTGACGTTGCATCAGCAAAGTAACAGCAAAGACGGAAGTCAATACGTGCGGATAGTTTCAGCATGGCAATGCAGCCCGTTCAAACAAAGGACGAGTGAACTTACTGCTATCGTCCAGCAACATTACTCGGATCTGGCCGTTGCTTTGGTCCGGAACTTTCACAGGTCGTGGGACCGGTCTGCCCGTGGCAATGCTGTTTAGATTGACAATTGCGTCCTCTTCAAACGAGGGAACTGTTGGCGGGCTGTCAGCTAGAGGGAAGCAAAAGTGGAACTCGGCACCACAGGATTCTCCATTGGTGACCCAAATGTGGCCTTTCATCTGAAACAGAATGCGGACAAACGGTGAGTGGCAGTCTTAGATCCACTTTCGGGCCGTCATTGAAACAGCATGTCTTACCAATGTTACAAATTTCAGCACCAAGCACAGCCCAAGACCTGATCCACTGGATTGCCCAATGGCGTGAGCCTTACGTTTCCGATTGTTGCGGTTGCTGTCCTTATCTTTGGAGATGGACAATTGATTGAATTCACCGAAAAGCTTTCCCATTTCCTCCTCTGGAATGCCACGCCCCTGATCGCGAACGGTAACCACTGCCACGTCCCCCCCTTGTGCCAAGGACGGTTCGATCTCTTCTCTTGGGCACATCTTCAAGTCGGAAGCTCCCGATCCAAGAGCCTCGGCCATGGCTGTTTGAGCCGACAACTGTCGCACGTAAATCTCCACGTTTTTCCCAGCACCAGAATATTTGATTGCGTTCGAAACAAGATTGATGAGAACTTGCTCTAATCGAAGCTTGTTAGCCCACATCATGGAATTTCCAACGCCATTGTACTTGACGGTCAGCTGACACTCGTTCATCTTGGCAAAAGGTTCACAGAAAGTCATTGAATCTTGTATACTTTGACCCAGGGGAATGGGCGACAGCTCTATGGTCTGCATCTTCTTGGCATCCATCTTGCCGAGGTCTAGAACATTGTTAATGAGCGTCAAGAGCAGTCTCGAGGAGGCGGCAATGGTAGACAGACATTCGTAGAGCTCCGTATCTTCTTCGAGGTCGAGCAAGGTCGTTGAAACCACGCCCATGATTCCTTGAAGAGGCGTACGGAATTCATGGGATAGCATCTGCATCATTTCCGTTTTGGTTCGGCTCGCGGCGGCTTCCTTATCAGCGCGTCGATGAGCCTGGTTTGCTTCTCGTTCGGCGGTCAAGTCTCGGATGACAATCATTCTATTCTTGCAGTCCGTCATGGCTTGCACCGAGATGGAGACGAAGAGTCGATCCCTGCCATCGCTGTGACAAATCGTCCCTGGCTTGGCCTTGGCGAACGCATGCATGGACGTTTGACTACCAGTACTTCCAGCATTTTGGAAGAAGTCTTGCACGTCTGCTTGGCTTGCTTCCATATCTACATTCTCTTGCCCCGTCTCACTGTCGTCATCATCATCATCCAGATCCATGGTGCTAGCTCCTTGAGCGGACAAAAAGTCCAAAGGCAGCTTCCATGGCAAGCCAAGACCTTGCAATTTGTCTGGCGATAGCTGCAGCAGGTTCAGGGCGGCTTCATTAGACCATACCATTTTGAAGTCTTCATTGGCAATGATGACTCCGGTGTCACTTTGCTGCACTGCCGCTCCAACCATGCGTAGACTGCGTTCTCGATCGAGCAATGCCGTGGTCCTGACTTGTACCTCTTGCTCGAGATCAGTATTGAGTCGCCTAAGTTCTTCCATGAGGTCATGCATTTGGGTGTAGTCTGCACTAACTCCCACGATGAACTTGAGCTGACCGTCCGCTCCCAGAACTAGGAATTACATGTACAGTACATACAGCAGGAAAGGTTTGAAATGAAAGGAGCGTGAGGACATGCAGTGTTGCAGATGTGGAGTGGTCACAGCCTGGCCAATACAGTATTACCTGGTGTATCCGTGACATGTGCCATGAAACTAGACTTGTCCTTGCGTTTGACTCCAAAGAATCCTTTCCAATGCTCTCCCTTTTGTAGCTTTGTAAATATCTCCATGCCTTGTTCCTGTGTCATGTCGGAAGGAGTCAATCCCATGATGTTCTGCCCCATGGCTTCGTTTTGGGCGTACTGGTAAAGTTCTGATGCGAATCTGTTCCAAAAGACGACAGTCCCGAGAGGATCCGTGGCAATGACAGCTTGTTCAATGTGATCTTCGAGTAGCCACGAACCAAACTCTTGACGAAGCAAGTTTTCGCGGTGCTTGCGGGAATACTCGACCGCGGTCAGGATGAACGAGGAATCGGAGGACGATGCTGGTGCCACTTGGATGTGCACAAAGCACGATAGCTCTTGTTCGTTGCTCAGGTGAATGGCCCGGATGGGGGACCTGAAGACTGTCATGCATGACAAACGAGAGTTCGAGAGCGAGCAAAGCACCAAAACGAGGAATGTTAGTGAAGACGCCGTGCCTCAAAAGACGTGAGGTAGCTTAGCTGGCTTTCCACGGTATCGTACGTACCGCCTTGTATGGGGCTGCGGTCAATGGAGGTCGTGGATGTTGGTGTCTGCTGCACTGGCAGCCCGGGAGCTCGAAAGACCAATTGAAAGGTAGAAAACGCATCTTTGTCGTCACGAGCATCCAACTCGAGTTGCTTAACATGACTTTGAAGCTCCCGGAGCTCCTGATCATCCACCAAGAGCGACGACAGATGACATCCCGGTTTGACGCCCAACAGAGCGGCGCTCTTCTCGTCGCCCGCACGAACACATACCAATGACGAAAACGAAACTTCCAGCTCGAACTTTACCATTGTGCGGAACTGAAATCAACTGAACTGCAAAATGAACTGAACTGAATGAGCCAGATTAGGAATGCAATAAAATGTTGTCTGATCAGAGGAGTTGGGCTCTATCTGTTTGGTTGAGCAAGATTGAGACCAGTCTAATCCGACTGTAGATTTAGAAGTATAAGTGTGCTCAAGAAGAAACTTCGTAACAAAAAAAGAACCTGACTTTGTTGTAACTGGTTTAGCTACTAGCTAGCTACTAGCTAGGTCGTATCATAGACCATAGTAGTACTAGAGTACTAGTAGCTAGCTGTCTAATCTTGGTGCGCATGAGAACGTTTTACTCGGTCGCCATTTCTGGCACCACCCTACTGCCCTGAAGAGCTCCTGAACAAACCAGGGCAATTGGGCTTCATGTCTTTTATGTCTAGTCTCGTCAAACCATGTTCTATCGGAGCGGCATCCCTTCTTCCACTTCGCCCCTTCTCATATCAACTAATTGTAGCTTTACCTTTAACATAAGAATCTAATAGCACCTTACTACAGTACTCTGGAGCTACTAGCTAGTAGGGGATTCATCAAGTTGTGGCAAATCTTAGTTCGCCGCCCCTTACCCAGCTGCCAGTCAGCACAAACAAACAAGACTTGATAGAGAATCGAATCCATGCGAGCGACAGACAGTTTTTGGATGGCCTTACATGCTACCGGTACCTGATAGAGGGCTTGCTTAGTTGTAGGTTGTAGGTTGCAGGTGTGAAAGAGGGTGGAGCTGTGTCGCATCAATATTTCCTTTGCTAGCTGTCCTGGCCACTAGCTAGGCTACCAGTATGTATGATTGAGGACACCATTTTTAAATTACATGTAAAAAGTTCACAAACAAGAACATTTGTGCTGCTTTTAACCGCACAAGGATATCTTATATTCAGAGGAAGAGAGCTTCACAATTGCACAACCCTCTAACGTTTTACTGCTCTCTTTTGAGCTGGTTTTGGATGAATGCGGTTCGCACCATACCCTACCAGCTACCAGTACTCAACAGTCTCAGCAGTCATAACATTATTCAGTACTCAAGTGTTCGCCGCAACATAATATAATAAGCAGTCTCAGCAGCTCGCAGTGGTAACATTAGACATTAGAGTATTCAGTTCGCGTTGTTGTTCAGTGCGCATGATGCTAACTTGTCTGGCTTCGCTTTTCGACGTCTTTCTATTGAGTGGGCGACAAAAGGAGAGAAAGGCTCTCTCACAACACACTCGTGCGTGAGTTGATACCTTCCGTGACCAACCGCCCCACAGGCCCACAGGCCTTCTTTTTCCGGTCGAACCGCCCCTTACATTCCTTGATCCCTAAGTCTATGTAAATTTGGAAGTGAAGGCTCATTCTTTTACAACTGAGCAAGACATCGTCCTTTGCTGTCCTGGATAGCAATGGACTGTGTCTTGGACACCTGCAAAGCAAAAAGATCCTTTTTGTTGTTGACGCAGAGGTAGCAAAAGTCCTCGGCAGGTTTCGCACAATTTGATTTTGACACCAACTCATGAGGTACGAGTAGAGTCTACCACAACAATATCGCGGCAATTGTTGAGGCATTGCTTTGTTGGCTTTGTTGCTGTGAGACAACCCAAGCCTTCTGGTGCCATGGTATTGTATCAACCAGAAATTGAATTCCTCTAAATCTCAAATAAAACTGGGGCCAGCCAGTTAGCCAGCTAGCCAGTTAGCCAGCCAGCTACGTGTAGCCAGTTAGCCAGCCAGCCCTGTCTCTCTCGAGCTCAGTCCATACTAGTACCGGACTGCTCTCTAGCTACAGTACGGTACCAGGTACCGGTACCGTATGCATACCAATAGCTGCATTTCTGTTGAAAAGGGGTGAACTTGGACGCACAATTTCTTGTAATTTGTTCGGGTTCTTTCCAGCTCTACTGACTAGTACAGTTGGCTTTCAGATTTCAGATTGTGAGCCCTTTGACTGAGCTCTTTCGTTTCTCTAGCTAGTTTGCTATATTATGTATCGCGTGGATCCTTCGATCCTCTTGTCTTCTCGCATTTGCATCGGAGATAGATCTCGTAGATCTATCTTCCAGCATAGGTTGGTTGGCCCTCGAGCCATTACCTTACTTACTAAGTCTCGTCGACTATTCCTCATCCATTCATCGCTCCATTCCATCTTCTAGAATTTGCATTGACTCCTAGCTAGAGCATACGGTAGATCCGTCTTTTGTAGCCCAGCCTCAGGTATTGTTGCAAGCCAACCCTTGCCCTAGCACAGGGATTGTCACTATTCAGGCTCGCGGGGGAATACACCACTCCATTTTGCCATTCAGAGGAGGGCACCACCATGCTCACATGCTCAATCAATGTCATTCAGGCAGTCTTCAGGGCGAATCCTCAGGCCATTCTGCAAACAAACCGCCAAGCAGAAACACCATTTTAAATTGCTCAGCGAAAGTCAAGTGTCTCAGAGGTCACTCTCAACTTTTTATACAAGGTTACAGAGAATGCATTGCACAAGCAGCAGCAGCAGCAGCAGCAAACCCAAGCTAGCAAGCCCAAACCGTCGTGGAGAAACCACCGGTGCCCACATTGACCAGTCCTCTTGATCATACATGTAACATCGCAAGCGACCTAAACGTCGCCGTGCAGACCCCATTTCTACAAGGGTGGCGCTGGTACTAGTAACTGAAGTGACCTGAACTGACTGATTGGTGGATGGATGGATTGACTTAGCAGCCGCTGGCCACGGCTCTGCTCGGCAGCCTCACCCTCGCTCTCGTCCTTGTGGCTGCCACGTTGCGTTCTGCTACTGGATCAGGAATGCCCTACTACGCGTATACGTATATCACAAGTACATGATGACCACGTTCCGAACATAGCTGAAAAAGCATCATTCCACCGGGGACAACTTCACTGCCTCCAATCGAGAGTATGAATATGATATGCAACTAATTATACTTTATGTCAATGTTATATGAAAAGAATTGCGCAAGTGCTTACCGCTCTTAAACTAGTTCTGGGCCTGGGCCTGGGCTGTGATGTGGTGTGATGTGATGTGCTGGTCCATGCTCATTTGCTTTTGGACGCTGGAGGATCGTTGTTCCGTTTTCTTGCGCTCTGTGGTGACTTGGCAGTCAGCATGCTCTTCGTTGTGTTAGTCGTTCCTCGTGTCAAATCTGTGGCGAGATGCCGTATATTCGGTGGCGGCATCGTGATGCCAATGCCATCGTTCGCACCGCCTCCGTCCACGAACGACAAAGGCTCCATTGGACCCACAATGGTGCCTATGGACGTACTGTAGGTCAAAGAGGCCTCGTGGTAATACTGCTCTAGGTTGCGGTTGCCGTTGCCGTTGTTCTTGTTCTTTTTTTGGTTCTTGCCAGTTCCGTTCTTGTTGGCAGAGCCAAGAGGCATTCCTAGCGGATGATGTGCGTTGTGATGCCTGGAGGCAAAGGATGGATCAATCAAGTCAATCACTGCCTGAGATTTGTCCGTATCCGTATCATCGGCAAGTGCATGATTTGAAAGCAGCGACGATGCCACTCGTCTTGAGGGACTGATGTCCTTTCTCTTCTTATTGCTGCTGCCATTGCTGCTGCCATTGTTGTTCTTTTGGATGGGCAACGTGATTACTTTCTTCGAAGGGCTTTGCGACCTCGACCGACCATTCGTGTTCCTGCCAATGCTCCCACTACCGCGAGCAGAGTAAGTACCGACACTGCCCGCACCGATACTGCCGGTTATACTGTTGACAAGACTGGCAATACTACCAGCAATGCTTCCCGGGACGCTTTCATCATCGGTGTCCAGAGGATCAAAGGAAATTGTAGGATCCTGACTAACGGCCATGACCAGATCCAAGTTGGCAGCCGCCCTCGCTTCGTTATCGGTCAAGTCAATCGCTTGGTCAATATCAGTCGTCTCAAAGGAAGGGCCTCCCGCATCTGTTGTCTCTCCGCCGTCCATGTATCGATCGGTTTCCGAGGCGTACATAATATCGGTTCCAAACCCTTCCGTGGTGGATTCTGTGTCTTCCTGCACTTCGTACGAGGTTGTCGGTTCTTCCACGTACGTTATGGTTGTCCTCTTATTGTTTATCCGTCGCCTCCTTTCTGGTGGATTTAGCAGGCTGTCGTCATCGTCGTCGTCGTCGTCATCGTCATCATGTTCGACAGTATCAAGACTGGTCCTGCCCGCCGAGTCCTCGTCCTCCAAATCTGTTTCCTCCACGTCTGTGGCAAAATCAGCGACGGTGGTGTCATGCTCATTGTCACTCAAAATGACTTTGTTGAGTGTCTCTTCCACGCGTTTCTGCTTGAGCTGCTGTTCATAGTCCGTCTGTCTATATTGTTGGTCTGTTTCGGAGAGGAGTTCTGCGCCATCATCCTTTTGATCGTACGCAATCATTGGCGGGATGTACTCATCCAATACAATGTGCGGTCCTTCTCGACCCGCTCTCTTGTTGGCATGGCTTACATTGGGACTTGCGTCCGTGTGGTTGCTTCCTTTCGTGTCATTGCCGTAAACGTGCTGTCCGCCTTCCATCATCATCACTAGGTTGTTCATGTTCATGCTGGTGTAAACAGATGTTTCTTCTGTGCCGTCCAAGTCACTAAGGTGAGTTGCGAATTCTGAATCAACCGCCGCCTTTTCATGTCGTGATCGGCGTGTTGCATCGACGTAGGCGAAACCAAAGCTCAATGCGAGAGCTCCCAACCCGAATCCCAGAAATGCCCAGGCAAAGCCGACAGTGGCAATGACCTTTTCATGAATGTACAAGCTGCAGACGCCATTGTTGTTGTCATTAAAGTTGGGGTCATCCAGATGAAAGAGTTTGGGTACAAAGACAAACCCTACGTAGACACAGTTGGTCAATATGTAGACCGCCAGTACGGGATCGTAACAAAAGAGGTTGGAAGCTCGACGAAAGATAGTTCGATCTGGTCCGTAGGAATAGGAGTGATTTAGACTGGCGGTGCTGATGGTCGTACTGCGATGATTTTGATTTTGATGTTGGTGGTGTCGTTTGTTTCGGTTGTCGTGTGACCGATGATGATTGATGCTGACGGCAATGTAGAATGAGGCAATGATGTGTACCCAGCAAAAGAGAAAGTTGACGAGTAACCACAGGGTTCCGTAGCAAACGGGTTGTCCCGCCTCAAAGTGCAGATTTCCCACTTCCGTCAATGCAATGAGCATGGGCGGGATGTTGGAGACGACCGTGACTGTAACGAAGATACCGAATGGGTTTGTGCAAATGTGCTTGAGAGCATGCAAGTATTTGCCACACCCGCAGAAGCCATTCCCGCAGCGACCAAAATAGCTGCAGGAATCCTTCTTGGTTAGTACTAACGACGAGGAGGCTGACTCTTCGTCATCGTTGTTGTGGCAACAGGGCAACGAACCTGCATGGCGACAGGTCTTCTCGCACATTTGGCCTACGCCGCGGCATAAGATGGCAGCCATGGTAGCAGGTAGCTAGCCTTTCGTGTTACGTTCCGGTTGATACGAAGGGTGGACGCTTCTCGTCGTAGCTAGCTAGCTAGCTTCTGAAGCTATAGCTCCCTTGGTTGTAGTCTTCGTGTACAGCTCGATTGGTGGCACAGATCAAGACTTGTCTGATCTCGTGTCTTTAGCGTCTTGGGGACTATCTAATGTGGCTATTGGCAATCCGTTAATGACAATGACAAGTCTTGTGCCGATGGCGCACACACTGCGAGCCTTGATGATGATGATGATGTGATTGGCAGCAACAGCACTCGATCACCAATGCATCAATTAACCCAAGGCAAGTTCCGAGAGCTGTTCCGAGGTGCTGCTCCTTCCTCTGCTGCCAAGCTCTGAGTGCGCTTTAGCACCAATACTACCTAACTGTTCCGATTATTTAGTGATATCTCGCTTATGTAATCGGTACCGATAAGCTTCATCATTTGATCTGATCCCATGGCTATAGCCAAAACTGAGGTAATTAGATCTTTGACGCCATAGTGATGCCGTTTAGTTAGACACATAGCTTCGCTGTTTGCTATGGTACATGTAGCTAAACCGAGCGACTGGGGACTCCCACCGCTAACGCGACGACGACCGGCTGGCGCTACGACCTTTGAGCTTCCGATTTCGGTTTGGTTGAGAAAAACGGCAACGCAAGATCCAGCCTTACAACTCTATTTGTGTATTGAGCATTCGTACTGTAGGGCACTTTCTGGCAACAAACAGCCAACAAACTAATAGATAACATCGAAACCTTGCAGCAAAAACTAAAACCAAAATGGCCGCTGTATTGTGTAATGCATGTGGCGACATCTGCAACGGCGCCTGCGAAGTGTGCGGCCATGTGTGCTCCAAGCCTTGTCAAGCTTGCGGCCAAGTGTGCAACGGCTTTTGCGACGGATGCGAGGCTTGCTGCAGTTCCTTTGGAAATCTGTGTAGCAGTCCCTTTAGCATCTACGTGACAGTTGCAACCATTTTCAATCTACCTTCAGTGTACTTTGGGTTGATGGAAGTCGCCGACATGGAATGTCGTGGTTCGCAATGGCTCTTTGTCAACGCTATACTGTGCCTCGTGAACGTCATTGCTGCGTTCTACATGGCCGTAGCTGTGACACGTGAAGAATCGACAAGCTCAGAACAGCAAGTCGTTGCCGGCAGACAACCCACTTCGGCCTTTGCCAGGGCGGGATACATGTTCTGCTATGATCCTTGGATTGCAGTCTACATTCTCGTGTTGACTGGGTTCTTTTGTTGGTTGTGGACGGGAGGAATTTGGAGTCTAAATGGCAAGGCAGCCAATGGTTGTAATGGTGACACCTCAGGGGCCAAGATAGCAACTGCGCTTGGCTTTGGCTGGGCGTTTTTCTTTTTTGGCATTGGAGCCCTCATGATTGGAATGTGCTGTGCCTACTGCTACAAAGACACTACGACATCGTCCACAACTACAAGTTATTACGAAACTACCGGTACGAGCTCTGCTGCTGCCGCTACGACTACGACCCCTTATGTCAATGCCGACAGTGCAGCTGGTAAAACCGCGTCGAACAAGACCGATGGCAAAATACCAACAGTGGCAGCCACCCCCGCTCCTTTCGCGGCTTCCACCACGAAGCAAGATGTACCAACTGTCACTGCCACCCTGTTCTAACGTATCCAATAATTAATCAGTCGAGGCAGCGAACAGTTTCAATCGCTCCAATGGTTGTCGGATGGATGATGATGTAATCTACTTTATCTATAACACCCATACGGTACCTGTAGCTACCGTACTATTAATAGTACTCTTGTTCTTGTATCCACACGGTACATTAGAAGGTACTTCATACACACTTTCATCTACTCATGTGCGGCCGTATTCCCCAGGAGAGCAAGGCAACCTACATGTATCATCCTCTTGCCGGACAAATACATAGACATACCGTAAGACTGCAGGACATTGCACGATGATCTTCATGCTTCAAGCTCAAAAGCAAGTCCAACTTAAAAATCCAATCAATTTCAAAGGGTGGAACAGCAAACACTACACCCCACCAGGCAACTATGATGTCATTTCGGATGTCAGGAGGACCAATTTGCTTCATTTGATTGAAGATAGAAGAAAAGTCAGGTGTATCCAGAATCAAGAGGAGGAATCAAGAGGAGGTGTTTGAGCTCCCTTTGTGGTGAGGCTGTGGCGGAACTATAGGTCATTTTTCAACCCAACCGAACCAAGCAAGCTACGGTACGTACCTGGTCTCTGGCTAGAGTCTACCAGTAGCTACTACTACATGTAGCTAGCTAGCTAGCTAGCTAGTAGGGATGCGGAGCTTGGTAACTAGCTAGCTAAGCTGCTACTACATGTATCTTCCTTTGAAACTCTACGGTACTGGTACCTGGTACATAGTTCTTCCGTGTTCTGGGGTCGAGGTGAATCGAATCATCACCCAAGAGCCCGGTGCTCGGTCCCGGTTTGGCGGTTTGGATGCTTTTTCTTTCGGATTAACTTTTCGCAGTGCGAAAGTGAGTTCGCTGACACTTGGTGGTGGGAAAGAATCCAAATTGTTCTTCTAACGTAACTAAGAGGGGCATTAGTCAATAAGAATGAATCTTGAATCTGTAACTACAGTGGTCATCGTTTGACTGATTCGCGGTTTTGAGTGGTGTGAGGATTTATGTAGTCCAATCGCAAATCAGCAGTGGAGCTGAAGTGGTGACTGTACCGGTCTTTGGATCTACAGTATGCCACTGAAGCCGGCACAGCTTTGCCCACGGCTTCCGCATGGAACCAGTCATCTCAAACCAACACAGACTTGATCTGATCGGATTGCAAGCAACTGATTGTTGTCCAGTCAACAAAGAGTTGTGGTTTGCTTTGCTTTGCTTTGCTTAGTTTGGTGGAGTTGGGTTACAATTTATCCATCTACCAACTTTAGCTTAGCTAAGTTAAGTTTCATTAAGCCAAGCTACCCTCAAGTTCCATTAAGCTACCCTTTCAAGCTATCAAGCTACCCTTTCAAGCTACCCTTCCAAGCTACCCTTGTTTTTAAAAAAGTTGTGTTCTGAATTTTATTGATTTTCTGAGTAATGACCTCTTTGGTAGCCAGTACAAGAATCAGCAGTATGCCTTCCGCTAGCGCTCCCATCAACCGCCGTGGCAGCATGCAAGATGAGTCTGTCAAGTTTCACGCCCGTGATTTTCTGAGTGTCAAGCAGGAGGATTTGCTGGCAGACTACGAAATGGGGGATGTGCTGGGAGAAGGAGGATTTGGACTGGTCTACAGCTGTGTCCACCGAGAAACAGGTGCTGAAAGAGCCGTCAAAATGCTGCAAAAGGATCCCGATAGACCTCAGATTCAAGCCAATATTATCAACGAGTTCAACGTGCTCAAAGACCTAGATCACCCGGTGAGTTGAGTTACCCCCATGAAATATACCCCTTTATACCCAGATACCCCTTGATACCCATGCATAAAAACCTACTGGAGGGTTCATGGGAAACCTGTTGGAGACTGCTTATTTGGGCGTTTCTTGGCATGGGTATAATTTGGTTTTGGGCGATTTTTAGCTCTGCATGGAAATTCTTGTTGGCAGCTTTTTATTGGGCTACCTATTATCATTGCTATCAGCATTCTCCTCAACTCACATGGTGTTTTTTGACTTCCTTCTGCTTTGTGCCAATTTTTCCTACTTTGGTTTTGCTTTGACTTGATTTGATTTGCTCTGCTCTGCACTGTTCTGCTCTGCTCTGCTTTGCTTTTGGGTTTGGACCTGATCTGCACTTCTGCACTTACCTGGACTGACTTGCACTAATTAAACAACCAGAACCTGGTCAAGGTCTACGATCTCTACCAAGACGAGGAATGTTTCTTTATCGTCACGGACCTGTACATGGGAGGAGACGTTTTTGATGTACTCGAGGAAAAGGGACCACTCAGCGAGGAAGATGCCGCTGTTGTCATGAACAACTTGCTAGGTTGTGTCAACTACTTTCACAAACGAAACCTCGTACACAGAGATTTGAAACCCGAAAATATTCTCCTCGATGCCAAACAATCATACAGTGACATCAAGGTCATTGACTTTGGACTCGCGAGATATACAAAGGAATTTGGAGACGAGCTCAGAGGATTGGTGGGATCGGCATACTACGTCGCTCCTCAGGTCATTGAAGGCGATTACACACACAAGTGCGACTTGTGGAGTTGGTACGTACCACTTCACAGACACACTGCACAATCATTCATGTGAATGGAATGATATTGTATGCTCACCAAAGAAATAATGTTTGCTTGTTTTGCTTTATTTATTTTAGTGGCGTCATTGCCTACGCCTTGATCTCTGGATTTGCCCCCTTTGATGCATCCACCGATGGAGCCGTCCTGGAACTCGTATACGACGGACGATACGATTTTGATGATGAGGAATGGGATCCCATCAGTGAACTAGCAAAAGATTTCATCACACAGCTACTCGAATACGACGAAGCGGATAGACCCAGTGCCGAAGAAGCACTTCAGCACCCATGGCTACGTCGATGCCGAAAATCGCCACGAATGAACAATGCACTCGTCAGGTCAAACTCCAGAAACTCCTTGAGAGACCTTTCCAAATTCGAATCCAAGTCCAACAAACTCAAGCAGGCAGCCTGTGCCATGATTGCTTCACAGCTGCTCACAAACGAAGAAAAGGAACTCGTCGATGATGCCTTTCGCGCACTCGACAAAAGTTGCCAGGGAGAAATCACAAAAAAGGACCTCAACTCGTCCTTTGTCGACCTGTTTGGAGACGATTCTTCCGACGAAGAGGATGGTTCCGATGATGACGAAGACATGGACCAGAGTCAGGCCAGTCACGCCGAACTGGTCGACAACATCTTTGAACAGGTCAACTTTTCCGGGTCGGGAGCGTAAGTACAAAAAGAAATAATCGATTGAAGTGGAATGCTTTGGTTGCATTGATGTCTCTCGGTAGTGGGCTAACCACCTGTCCATGCATGCTTTCAAAACTCCGCAGAATTCAATATTCTGAATTTGCTGTCGTCATGATCCTCGAAAAGAACATGGTCACCGACGACAAGCTTCGGGCCTGCTTCAAATTCTTTGACCTCGACGACAAAGGATTTATCGGCAAGGAGGACGTGGGTGCGGTCCTCAAGCTGGGCAATCGCGGCTGTCACAAAATCATGCAAATGACAGCCAGCGGTCGCAAGAGGGATAAAATCACTTTCGACGACTTCAAAAAGTGCATCCTTCCCGAACGCCCACAAAAACCGTCGGGACCACCCAAACGAGGACTGCTGGGTGACGACAATAAAAATTTCAAGGGACCGCTCGGAGGTCCCATGGACGAATCATCTCGTGCCCGTCGACCCAGTTTCATGGATGAGGAATCATCTCGCCGTCGTGGTCCCATGGATGAATCGTCGCGTCGTACAAAGTTGGGTCGGTCCAATGTCGGTCCCTCAGCGACTACTAGAATTGGCCCTGCCAAGAAGATAAACCGCTTGGCGAGTTTGGAAGAAGTAAAAGAGTAAACGTGGGGAGAGACAACCAAAATGCAGCTGTGGGCGATGGACAATGCATGGTCTGGTTTTGTTTGGTCTGGTGTGCGGGCGTAGGGATGGAAGGACGCAAGCAGGACCAAGAGGATGGTTTGTACTGCGAATTCCTGAAGAAAGTGAGGAAGAAAGAGATGCGGCACAACGCAGCAACACTTCTGTGGTTTTGAGTCATTCTGAAGCAAGGAAAGGAAGGAAGGAAGGAAGGGATGTGATCGGTTGAAGCAGGTGTAGATGGTTGAGGATCTGTGAAACCGTTTGGTCCAGTACCGTTCGATTATTTATTCATTTTATAGTTTGTAGTATCACTTCTTTTAAAATAAAGTGCTGATTGAAGAGCCAAGCCACGAAAACAGCGCAACGAGGACACTCGAGGAACGAGTGGTTCCGGCAAGAACAGGCAGGTGTAGAGACGAATTCGTTGACGGTCCTGGAGGCCAATGACAAAACCTCTCTGCAAGCTAGAGAAGAGAGAAAAATTCAGATACTTGTGCCTCTCCAGTACGAGCCGATCCGTTCCGACAAGGGACGATCCCAGTGCTAGTTCAGGTTATAAAGCAAGGCGCAGGCAACCTACCGGCACCAGAACGTAAGCACAGTTTTCGCAGACCACGATCACGTGCATGGCGTGGAAGATCTTGCAGCCCAGCAAACGAAGTGGGCCCTACGAACTGCTGACTGGAGCTCTTCTGGTTTCGACACAAAAACACTCCACAACAAAAAGAGGAGCCTGCGTAGAAAGCTCTCCCGCGCCCTTGTTGTCCCTCATGAGACTCCATCCACACTGGATCAAGGCGTTCTCGACTGACAGCTTCGCAAATAAAGACGATGACCATCGTGCTGTAGAAATGCTTGAAACTCTTCACGGTCCCATCCCGATCATTGTCTGTATGCCTGCGGCGGCTTTTGGCCAGCCTACTAACCATAGTTCCAACCAGAGAAATGAAGAAAGGGACGGTGCTCATTCAGAGATGCTTCTAGAGTAGCTGTATTCGTTTACGTTGCTTTATTATTAGTACTTTGTACATTCGGCTGGTGCTGGTAGTCAATAGCTAAGGCTAGATTCAGTCAGCAGCATGATAAGGTTGTGTCAAGACGGGCTCTCGAGCGTTGTGGACTGGTCTTTCTGGCATATTCTTTGGCATTCGTAGCCTTCAAAATATGCATGTATGGGTAGCACGGAGATTTTGTTTCTTCTTTAGTGTGAACCTGAAAGGCTTCCATAGAGTCTTGTGCCGCCCGTTGTTGCGCCTGCTTGGTGGCTTGTTTGCTCAGGGTCACAGAGAGTGCCCTCAAGCCTTTGGCATCCCTCAGTCCTTCCTCTTTGTGGTCTTCCTGAAGGGCCAAGAGACTTTGCACTTGATTCGTTCGTCGTTGCTGTGATTGACTACCACCGTATACCTTATCATACCAGAGTTCCAACCCACGGGAATAGCCATGGTCCCTCAGAGAGGCAGCTCCTTCCTCCCGAATTGTGTCATAGTCATTCTTCGTGTACCAGAGTTGCTCTTTGCCGTTGCCACTACCAAACTCTTCGTCTTCGACAAGAAACTGAGCTGGTTCATGGATGCGAATAACATTGTCAAAGTGGATCATGGTCTCGGCTCTGTGCTGGAACGAAGTGTTGTGCTGCGAGATGAGTTTTCTGGGTGAGCAAGGCACGACTGTACCGTGCTGGAAGTTTTCAAAGTTGTGAGGAGTCGAGGATGCCCTGAGTCGCAAATAGTCCGAAAGTGGTACCTTTTCTTTGTCAATAATTACTCCGTCATGCATGCTTCATCCCCCTCATGACCTGTCAACCAAAAATTCACTCACACTTACTCACCCCGGAGGTCTCTGTATTACTCCGGAGTACGTAATGGCTCTACTAGCTAGACTACCGGTAGCCAAGCTACCAGTTGCTACGCATAATCTTGTGCTGGGTTCACCCGCAATTGGTTTGACTGACGCATAATATTCTCACAGTGTCGAGATGGCAGATAGAGTGCTAGGTAGTGGCAGTGAAGCACTGAAGTACATGTACCATACTCCAAGTGCTGGATTTCTAAGGAAGAATGGAAAGTTTCTTTTCTTTCTTCTTTTCGAGTAAGCCTCCTTTCCGTTTTCGGTACCGTACACCGCTGGATGCGTCGTAGTACATGTACTCCGTACCGCGTTGGTTGGTCTACTACAGTGTATTTTACGACGCTGGATTGAGGTGCCGGCTTGCTAGCTAGGCAACAGGGTAACGGGCCTGCCACTCCCACTTGAACATCAACGGTGCAGAACTACTAGCTAGCTAGTATCGCCCTGCAGGCCCCACCAGCCAAGAACATGCCACTCCCCGCTGGACTCGGATGTCGCTCAATCAACGTGAGTTTGCCTCCCACAGATACGTTTACCGGTACCGGGGGAGTTCGGCGTTCGGCGGCTGAGCGAGAGAAGCACCAGGCATTCAAAGCAGCAAGTGGCTGGCTGGCTGAGACTCTGGTGGTTGCATCGAATGAATCCAATGATTTGATTCAATCCAATCATTCAATCTATTCAGGGTCCAAAGACTGAGCTGGACTCCATTCCAACCACGGCGGTACAGCTAGCTATGGTTGCCACTACGGCATCGGTTTTCTTCAATTTCCCTCTCTCCTACTATTTATCTTTGGCTGGTATAGAGTTTGTGTATTCCTGATGTTGTGTGTGTCAACGACTTATCAAAAGCCTTCCTTGTTGCTTTGGCTCCCAGCACGCAAACGCGGTGCTCCTTTAATTCTCATTGTCTCAGTTTTACTCTGTCCATGTCATCCTGGCTTTCTTGGCTGGACGACCATTGACTCCCATTGTTGTACCGGCATGGGGGTGCTGGAGATGAGTTTGTTGGACAGCAATAAGCATTGCGTTCACATCTTGTTCACTCCTCCGCGTACGTGTAATGGGATGCGCCATGGTAGGGAACGAATGACCAGGAGGTGCCGAGGTTTGAGAAAGGGGCAATCCAGCCATTGCCACTGGGCCGGGAGAAGAAGCAAGTAATTCTGTCAACAAGCTGCCATATTGAACACCGTTGCGGGATTGCTGCAATGCAAGAAGCAGCCGGCTAGCTTCATTAGATTGCAGACGGATTCTCTCCTGGAACAATTGAAGAGCAGAACTCGTGATGGACTGTCCTGGGAAGCCCCCCTGCAATTGAGTGGTTGATCCGTATGTTTGGTTGCCGATCGCAGCTCCCAAAAGAGGATTCCAGGTTGTGGAACTAGGATGGTGTGCTGTAGAAGCAGAGGCTCCCATGTTTAAGCCGGCTCGAGAATGAATTGGACTGCACTCATTCACAAAAGGGCCAGCATTTGTACTTGAAGGGACCAGACCAGAAGCTTGTGGCTGTGAGAATACATGTGGGTGTGGACCCCGCGGGGCAGCTACGGTCGCATGAAACAAGCCACCTGCAGTAGAGGGGACTTTTCCTGCCTTGAGGTCGATGTAGAGTTCCCGACTTGCCCAAAACTTCGTCTCAAGCTCTTGGAGTTCTTGGGCAATGCTTTGGGACTCATCGGTCTCTGGATGCACAGGTACCGGTACGTGTATGGGCTGAAAACGATGGCGGCCTTTGTATCCTCGTACTCCTTCGTACTTTTTGGAGATTCTCTTGACATTACAATCAAGTTTCTTGGCAAGGAAGCTCCTTAGGGAGGTTCCAGGTTTGACCCCATTGATGCTGCCAGCATAGAATGCCTGCATAAGACTGTCACAGTACAGCTTCTCTTCAGGCGTCCAATAACCGGAAAACGGAGCATCATCTCCTCCACCAGGAGGGCCTGTATTGGTAATTGGTACATGTGCAAACGAAAACATGTGCGTGAGAGGTACCGGTTGCAAGCAAACATAGCTGAACTACACTTAATAAAATTGTTAAGCTTTACAACACCTGTCTTCATCTTCTTTGTCTCCAGGCTACGGTTGTTCATATTCAAAGGTGTTGGACTTGACCGACAGAGCTACCTATTGATAGTATGAGGAGATTGTTTTTCACAAGCAACAGCGATGTTTTTGTGTAGAGGCACAGTCACTCACCAGCTAGCCAGAAAGCAGATTTGGATACGTTACGCGTTCAGGATTGGCTGGCCAGCTAGCTAGCTAGCTAGCTAGCTGTGGGCGAACCAGACCGTGGCAAATTGAGGGCAGAAAAAAATTGACCGTGAAAGATTCTGGGGAAGCAAGGAAGAATCGAATCGAATCATGGCAAGGTGTCTTAATAACGTTAACCACCATAAAAAAACCTCTTGAGTTTGAAGCAGAAGAACGTGTACTACGTACTAATACAAGCGAGTGTTGGAAATTCGAAAGAAGCAGCATCATGATGCCGTACAAGTGTACTAGTTCAATATGCCACACCGCTGCTACAGGGGTCTTTCCGGTCTTACTACTGGTAAACAAAAATAGCGCTGAACCGAAGATATTAATGGATGCGGATGTCAGGCGTGTAAATAACCTGACCGGAACACTTACAAACGAGAATTAGAGGTCAGGCAGCAAAGCAATCGTTAAACGTTGAGCCACACCTGTGGGTTAAGCTGGTCCAGTCCAATACCACTGCCGTACTGACCGGTCTGCTTCTTACTCCACCACCTTGAGGGAGGTAAACAGCTCCAATACCGGTAGGTGTTATTTAAAAAATGTTCTTTACCGAAAGCAAAACCGTGGTACTATTATTTAATAGTATTAATAATCTGTACCGGTAGAACCGTTGGGAAACTGGCGACTGACGTGTTTGAGGTACCGGTACACCGGTACGTACCAGGTATTAAAATACCAGTATATATATGTCACACAAGAGAAAGCTGGAACGGAACGGTAGTCTATGTCTCCAGTGCGTAAGTAGTGTCGCAGTGTTATCCAAAACTTTGTGTTCTTGTATGATAAGCTAGCATAGCTGGCCATTTTCAACTCCATCTGGGAGCTCAAAACTCCGGAAATTTCGCAGAAGAGCAGGAGCACTTGTCTGGACGTCAATCTCCCATGCTAGCTAGCTAGAGTAATAACCAGGAAGCAACGAGATGCTCTCTCATACAAAGAACCAATTTGGAGGCCGTCACCTCGAGGTGCACAAAGACGGCATCGCGACAGCATCGTGCACGGGCAAGTCGCTCAGCGTGAGCTACAGCTCCGCAGGCTAGTCGTGTAGGTTTTTTGCATCCGGAGCTTCCTGTGCAGAGGTCGCGGGGGCGGGCTGACAAACCACATGGCTGGCTGCCAGTCCTGTTGTCACATGTGTTTTCTGGAGCGATCTTGTCGATTCGATTCGATTCCTCCAGTGTTGACGTCCTCCACGCTTCCAACTTCTTGGATGGGTGCTTCCTGGTCACCTCATCAGCTTTGGCAGACTTATCGTGCCTGGAAAGAGAAGCCAGCAGAGCCCGGTGACTTGATTCAGATGTAGCTTCTTTATCTATGCTAGCTAGAGTAGCTACTGTAGTAGCTAGCTAGACCTAGCTAGTAGAGCTACGGAAGGGAACCGGTGGGTTTCGCGGGTTTGTCCCCTTGCCTTGGCACCGAGCTCGTCTAACTTCATTGGAGTTTCGTTTCGTTTTTAGTTTAGACTATGCAAGTATTCCCACAAGGAAGGTTGCTACAGCAGCCAAGCCAAGCCAAGCCAAGCCAAACCGGAACAACCAAAATTGAGATTGCACATGACATGAGTAGAAAATGTATACAAATGCAACACAGTGGTGAAAGCAGTGGTAGTCCCCTCTTTCCCATCCAAACAAATACAAGCATCCGTCTCAGCCACTCCAGAAAACTCGATTCTCTGGTACGGTAGCTAGACTGTCAAACGCCCAAACCAGTTCCACTCCACGTTCCGCTCCAAGTTGAACCAGTCATTCCATTCCAATCCGTCATCGTAAATTCCACCATCGAACCAACGAATCATTGTTGCCAACCTTCCATATTTCGTTCCTTATCTTTCCTTTCCGTCTTGTTTATTTCTTTTTTTCTCCGTTTGATTCAGCTCATTCTTGAATGGGTACTTCGGGAGGCATTGTCGATTCAATAGTTTCAATTCCTTCCATAGTCCCCTCGAGTGGTGCCGAGACTGGATTTTCCTCCAAGAACTTTTGCATTTCGTCGACCAGATCCTTGACGGTTTTTCCATCGGCGGCCTGACTGATGATTTTGAGGCACCAATCGGATTCTTTTTTCCCGCCACGTGCCTTGACACGGTAGACGCATCCCATGACCAATGCCGTGTGTCCATCCAAGAATTGGCAATCACTGAGGGCATGAACGGCAATGTCGACGCCAGTCATGGTATCAAACAAGTGACACGACGCTCTCTTGATATCATCGAGTTCTTGTCCGCTGTAGGAGTTGACGACGAATCCAATGTATGTGGTTTTTTTTGCGACCTTGGAGAGTTGTACGTAGAGGCGTTCATCATCACCCGAGTCTTCTCCACTCCGTTGATCTCCACCGTGACGAATGGCCGTGTCATCACTGGCCAAGTGTTTGAACCATACCTTGTCGACGCATTTGAGATCAGAGTCTAGACAGATGGCCGATGCATCCAAATCGACTTTAGTGTCTCCCGCCCCGGCCATGTCCCAACTCAAACCGAAGGTGACATTATCAGGGAGTACCTTGTCGGGACAAAAGTCACGAATCTTGATGGTTCCTCCCTTGCGCATGACGGAGATTTTTTCTTGTGGATTGACCACAATACTGGGGATCAAATCGCGCGAATAGGATTTGAAATGTGGAATCAAGGATCCAAAATCACGCGCACTCTGATGCACGTCTTCAATGGGTTGTACCTTCCATTTGGTTTTGGATTCTCGAGCGATACGTACCAAGAAGAGTGCGGTGGCGTCTTCGCTGTCGACGTGTTTGCTGGGTACAAAAGAGGCCATGGGTCCTTCGTTTGCCTTTGCTTCGTCAGTAATGGTGACACGGGCACTGGTAACGGAGCTCAAGAATCGTTTGGGGGATGCGACGGTGAGAACAATGTATAGTGCGAGTATGCGTGTGGATACATTTTCTAGACGAAATGTGATGGATTCGTCTTCTCCTTCGGCATTACCGTCTCTTGAATCTCCACTGTGTACAATGGACTCGTTTGGATTGGACAGATTTCCGTAATACACAGAGTTGTCCATGCTAATATTTCCCTTGGTGTCAACGGCAACACAAGCCGCATCGAGATCGATGATTTTTCCCTTGACGAGATCCCAAGCCAATCCTACTCGGATATGGTTTGTGTCTAGTTCAAAGGCATTTCCGCGCTGCAGCGTGGTGGATCGATGAATGGTAGCCTTGATTTTGACTTGCAGTTTTCCCTTTGCATTTTTGGCCGATGTGGCCGGTACGGGGTACCATTCGGTCTTGTTAAAGCTCTTGGGTGGATCCAGTTTAATAGGTATCTTGACGACGCCCATGCTGTCATCGTCACTGCCCTTGTCGTAGTCAAAAATGTGAAAGACAATACAAGGCGGTGTCTTGGGGTCCGTAAGTGCACTACAGGAGATCTTGGTGGAGAAAGTCTGATTCCATTCCGGACTGAGTGTCTTCATGATAGTTTTAGTTTTTCCCAATTCCTCCGTGGACGTCTTGGCTTTGGCTCGACCCACTCCAGGCACGGTCGTTTCCAGACTCACCACGCAGTAGGGATCCGACGTAGAACGCTGACCCATCAGATTGCGATCTTTGGCCGCCAAGCCTTCACCCTTCATCAGAGTAAAGGCGACTTCCACGGCCTCCACGCCGTTGGTGGGAATGTACACTGGCATCTCTTCTTCTAGCTGACTTTCAAGATGTTCTGGAATTGACTTAGCTTGGCTTAGCTCGAGCTTCAGGAACTTGAGGAACTTGAGGAACTTGAGGAACTTGAGATCTGGCTGAACTTAACTTAAGGTAGACTTAAGTGGGAGAGGCAGGATAGGATCCTAGCAGCTTGTTTTTAGTAGTTGCTTGCTTGCTGATGCTGATGCTGATGCTGATGCTTGATAATACTATTAATAGTACTAGTACTGCTGCTGCTAACGATGGGGTACTAGTATCTTGCTATTTCGCTGTCGGACGGGAAAATTATGAGGAAACGTCAATAATGAGAGATTGGAGGGTCATCTTCTTGAACAGCAAAATGACTGATCTCGAGAAGATCTCCAAATCCATTGTTTTACGAGTACGTTGTCTAACAACATATATATATGTACAGAGACTAACGGTACTGGCTAGCTATCCTACGATACGGCAGCTCTGCATGGTACGAGTACTACTAGTAGCTATGACATAGCTAGCAGATCGTAGAGCAATCGATGCAAGGAAGCATTCTCATTGGCAGTGGCACCGCCAGTCATAATATAACATCAGTCGAATCGAATTCAATTAAAGCGCAAAACATGACCATGTGCCATGCCATGCCAAGCAAAACCATCAAGAAGATCAAGATGATGATCAGGGAGGATCCTCCTCGGCCACAAACTGCAGCTACTAGTAATTCATACGGTTTCTATGTACATGTACACGCAAGTACTGAGAGTGGCTACCATAGCTAAGGCTAGCTAGAACTAGTCTACTCTGATGGTACCGTACTTGTGGCTGGCGCCAACCACGGTGATCTGGCCTGATGAAGGATAGAGGTCAGAATACCTCCAGGCCTGCATGTCAATCTCCCGATTCCATGCATTGTCCAGATCCACGCCACAACTTTAGAAATGGTGGATCTAAACCAGCACCTATCGGTACCGTACCGGTACACCTAGCTAGACCCGCTCGAACAAGCATGATCACTTCATCCATCACTTTGGTTTTTTCTAGCTAGTAGCCTTACACTATTATTAATGCTACGACAGTACAAGCTAGCTAGCTACTGGCTAGAGCCATCATTTCAACAATGAGTGTCCTTCTAAACCAGCATGTTTCTAAAGTCTAAAAAGGCCAAGCAAGGCTGTGATGATGCCTGATGAGTTAGGTAGCTCTAACCTTAAATAGCAATCTTTGACTCAATCCAAACTGATTCCCGTGTGTCCTGATATCTTTGACCAAAGACGCGCTCGCATCCACTCATTCAAATTTTCTATCAATCGCAACAATTTGTTCTGATTTCGCTCTCTAGCTAGTCGACAAGCTCATAGTACTAGTAGCTCATAGTAGCTCATAGCTAGCTAGCAACAAGCCATGACAAGTACAAGTACAACCAACAACTTCCACAATGGCCAAGTGCGAGCGGACCCTGAGCACGCCATTGTGCGTCGGCACGTGACAAGCGTGCAATTCGGCCTTTACACCGACCAAGACGTTCGCGATCGCAGCGTGGTGGAAGTCACATCTCCCATTTCCTACATGAACGACACGCCTTTGCCTGGTGGATTACATGATCCGAAAATGGGACCTTCCAGTCAAAGCGATCACATGCCTTGTAGCACTTGCGCTCGTCGCTTTCAGCTTTGTCCAGGACACTTTGGATGCATAGAAGTCTGTGTGCCGCTCTACCAACCTCTACTATGGAATGATCTGTTGTCTATCTTGAGAAGTATCTGTTTTCATTGTCACAAACTCAGACACTTTAAACGAAAACTTCTTCAAGCGCACGCCAAGCTGCTTCTCATTCTTCATAATCGACTTTTCGACTTCTATTCACTCGAAAGAGAACTCGCGCAAGCCCTACTTCAGGCCGGCGAACAGGACGAACAAGACGAAAGCTCCAAACACACCAGAGCACAAGACAAACTACTCCAGGAACGAGCCGTAGAAACTCATTGCCAAGCCATCATTGACGAACTCAAAGACAAACCATTGTCATCAAATCAGAAAAACACCAATGACGCTGTACGGGCATCACTCTTTAGAGACTTCCGAAAGCAGATCATGGCGGAATGGAGGGGAGTCCCGCAATGTCGTCATTGCAATGCGCACAATCCAAAAATCAAACAGGATCAGTCCAACAAAGTATTCCAGATTCCTGTCAGTGACAAAAGTCAACAATTCAACAGTGCGCAAGGAATTGAAATGGTGTCGGCGTTGGAGACACTGCAGAACAAACAACAGAAGAACAAAAATGCCAAAGACAAAGACGTCGAATCGGACGAAGATACCGTCATGAGCGAGACTGATCGGAACCCATTCATTGACGACGAGGCCATGGAAGACGACGACCATCAAAACAACATCACTTACAGCGACGACGACGAGGAACAGGATGGATTCTCCAATAAGCAAAAACAACGAAAGACAGTCACAAACAGCAACAACAGCACGGCCACGAAGACGACGACGCAATTCTACATGCCCCCTTCCGAAGTCATGGCACAGCTGCAACTGCTTTGGGCCAATCATAGCTTGCTCTTGGACACGGTACTCTTTGCGGGACATTCACCCACCAAGGATCACAAACTATCCTACAAGACATTCTTCGTCAATGCTATTGCCGTGCCGCCGTCCAGATTCAGACCACCCATGACGGTAGGATCCATGGTCGCAGAACACGCACAGAACGATTTCCTATCCAAGGTACTCATCGAGAATGCGGCCGTACGACAAGAACTCTTCCTGAACAACAATGAACCAAGAGCACACACTCATTGGATTCAGTTGCAGACGTATTTCAACTGCTTTATGGATTCCTCCAAGGATCCGGCCGCAAAGGGCGGAAATCAAACACAAAACGGCATTCGACAATTGCTCGAAAAGAAACAGGGAATCTTTCGAAAAAACATGATGGGAAAACGAGTGGATAGTTCGTGTCGCAGTGTCATTAGTCCCGATCCATACATTGGAACCAACGAAATTGGGATTCCCGTATACTTTGCGCAAAGACTCACGTACCCGACACCCGTCACGGAATGGAATATGACCGAATTACGTCGATTGGTGGAACGGGGGCCAAAACAATACCCAGGCGCTGTTTGGGTGGATATCCCAAAGCCGGACGGAAAGAAAGTACGGGTCAACTTGGACCGAATGAACCCAGAAAAACGGCAAGCGGTCGGAGCCATGCTGTTGACTCACGGCAAATCTGGTGGCGGGTCGGGCAGACCTGCCGTGGTGGGACGACAATTGCGGCATGGCGATGTCATGCTAGTCAATCGACAGGTAGGTTGTATTGTTGCCGTTGCCTCCTTTTGTTTGTGTGAGGGCTTGGATGGATAGATTGTGTGTTTCTGTTTGGTTTCATTTGTGGAAGGGGTTGAAAGAAATAGTCCGAGGATGAGCTTTTTGTCATGCACCACTCCGAAAATTCGTGATGGATTATGACTTCCACAGATCGGCAGAGTCAGGCTTGGTAGAACAACCCGAAAGAGTTGCAATGCCAAGGCTCTTTGTCGTACTCGAGGGCTATTTCTCCCGCCAGGCCAGAGAATGCTGTTGATGCAGTTTTGATTGCAACCCATGAAACTGGTTGGTTCAATCTCTAATGATATTTCCTTTTTGTTTTTTTGTTGATAACAGCCCACACTACATAAACCAGGAATCATGGCCCACCAAGTACGGATTCTTCACGATCCAAATCAGAAGACCATTCGGATGCATTATGCCAGTAAGTAAGCACAGCGAAAACATCTGGTTTGCGCCGTTCTCGCAGATGAATTTCCATACGCTTCAGTCGCATGGCTAACTCTCTTGTTGTGAACATGGACCTTTTCTTTCTACTACACAGATTGCAACACCTACAATGCCGATTTTGATGGAGACGAGATGAACTGTCATTTCCCTCAGTCGGATGTTGCTCGAGCTGAAGCCACCTACATTGCCCAGACAGACTTGCAGTATATTGTTCCCACGGACGGATCGCCCCTTCGAGGGCTCATCCAGGACCATGTTTGTGGCGGAGTGAAATTGACAACTCGAGATACCTTTCTGAAACGATGGGAATACCAGCAGTTGCTTTTTGCTACATTGGCCAGTCTCCCTAGACTCGAAGTTTTGGAAGACAATCAAGATATCGAACTACTACCACCAGCAATTCTTAAACCAGTGCCTCTGTGGACCGGAAAGCAGGTTGTCACCACGCTCTTGCTGCATTTGTGCAATAGCCCGCGAGGCAAGAAACATTATTCAAGTAAGAGCGGCATGAAAAGACCACCTGATATCCCCCTTTTGCGTCAAGGTGGCCTTTCGTTGGAGCGCAGCTCCAAAATGCCTGGAACTGCGTTTGGAGAAGATCATGAAGAACATCTGGTCTTGATTCGGGACGGAGAGCTGTTGCGTGGTATCTTGGATAAATCCGCTTTTGGCGCTTCCGATTTTTCCCTTGTCCATGGAGTCTACGAAGCATATGGACCTACGAAAGCAGGATTGTTGCTGAATTCGCTTGGGCGGCTCTTTACGTCCTACATTCAGTGCTTTGCAGGTCATTCCTGCCGTGTCGAGGATTTGATATTGACCCCCGAGACCGACAAGATTCGGCGGGATCTTGTTCAGGTAAGTGTGGTTGTGCGGGTTTTCATCCTTCTGGCTTCCTCTGTTTGGATCCTTGTTTTCTCACTTTGTGCTTGGTTGGAATATCTTGTTGCTTCGCCAGCGTGCCTACAACGTAGGGTCCCGTGCCTGCAAGGCGTGGGCAGATTCCGAGGGAGGCAAAGTCGCAATCGAGTCAATCTCCGAGAAGGAAGGCTCAAACAAACCCTTGAAGCCAGTAGAAGTCGCATCCGCGTCAGCTAAGATTTCCCGGCTATTAGGAGGCGCCGAAGGAAAGCAGAATTTTGCGGCTCTGGATGGATACATGATGTCTCAATTGAATCCTTTGGCCTCTGAAATCGTCAAGAAGTGCCTGCCGAATGGATTGGCTGTTCCATTCCCTGCCAATGTAAGTTGCGGTCGTCTTTCCTGAGTGAAGAATCTTTTCTGGCTGTCTCACATCTCGTTCTCTGGCAGACCTTTGGCTTAATGACAACAACAGGGGCGAAAGGTTCCATTGTCAATCAGTCCCAAGTATCCTGTGCCCTTGGCCAGCAGGCATTGGAAGGACGGCGTGTACCTCGTTTAAACAGTGGTAGAACACTGCCTTCTTTTGCTCCCTACGATCTAAATCCAAGGGCCGACGGTTTTGTCATGGATCGCTTCCTGACAGGAGTTCGCCCTCAGGAGTACTACTTCCATTGCATGGCTGGCCGCGAAGGTCTAGTTGACACTGCCGTGAAAACCTCGCGTTCGGGATATCTTCAGCGGTGTCTTGTGAAGCACTTGGAGGAGCTGAAAGTTTGCTACGATTTCACCGTGAGGAATGGAGAGGGTGGGGTGGTTCAGTTCCTCTACGGGGAGGACGCTTTGGATCCAACAAAAGCATCCTATTTGGACTGCACGGATCGATCCTTTGAGTTCATGGCGCGCAATCACGATTCTATCAAAACGCTCAACACGCAGCTACAGGGATGCAGTATTGACCTCGCTGCTTCTGATCATGAGCGAAGTGAAGCACTGACCAAGCGAAGCGACTCTTATTTGCTGAGAGAGGGAGAATCAGTGCTGGCAAGGAGGCTTCGAGGTGGAACTTCGTGGAAGCGTGGAGCCCTTCTGAAAGGATGGCACGCGGCAGTGATTACAAAGACACGCGAAGACGAGGGATTGGTGGACTTGAAATATCTCAAAGACGGGCACAGAGCGAAACGGGTTCCCATGGTCGCTGATCTCGGTCGTTGTGGAGGAAAATTCGAGCGTGCCTTGTCAGGTTCTTGTGTCGTTGTGAAGCCTGCTGTAGCGGATCCTATTCTGTCAGCGGCAGCTGGGTCAGCGTTGCGAACTCGTGGTGATGGGAGAACTCATTTACTTGGGTCCACGGGTGCATGTTTGTCCGAGAGGGTCGCGGGTTCGGCCAAGGCGGTGCTATCGTCAAAGAGGTTTAAGAAGGTACTGGAAGCCAACAACGTATCAAGTAGTGACGTCGGGAATGTTGTTGCCGCCAAGTATGCAAACGCTCTTTGTGCTCCCGGCGAAGCGGTTGGGAGTATTGCAGCTCAATCCGTAGGCGAACCATCCACACAAATGACGCTCAACACATTCCACCTCGCGGGTGCAGGAGCAAATGTGACTTTGGGTATCCCTCGACTTCGTGAAATCATTATGACAGCAAGCAAGACCCTGAAAACACCCACAATGTCGGTCCCACTGCAAGAAATCGTCACTGAAGACGAGGCAACCCGACTCACTCGGTCCTTTACAAAGCTGACATTGATGGAACTGATAGCTGGCCACCGAGGAGTAACCGTGAAGGAGACTCTAAGGACTGGTGAAAATGGTCAGTGGCAGAGGGCTTATCTGGTGACTCTCAAATTCCACCCAGAAGAACGAATCAAAGCTGCTTTTGGTTTGTCTTTGCATGACATTGCAACGTCTCTTGGGAAATCCTTCAACACTGCAGTGAAAACTCTAATGGTGATGGAGCTGAAGCGATCCAAGGCAGAGGGTGAAATGGTCGCCGTGAAAGTTGGTGGCGGACGCATCGCTGCTGACTTCGATGTTGATGCTGACGACGAAGCTGGCGAGGAGAAAGAGGAAGGGGTTGAGCTGAACACAAAGATGGCCACAAATGATGATTCGTCTGATGACGACGACGAATCAAGCGATGGAATGGGAATTGAAGATGGTGTAGCTGCGTCGAAAAAGAGATCTGAAGATGCGACTGCCTTTTACGATGACGATGACGACGAATCAGAAGAAGACGAACCGCAGCCAACGGAAATGGATCAAGCGGATGGCTACGAAATCACGGAAAACCAAGATGACGACGAGAAAGACGACACCACTACGGGCAGCAAATCTCGTACCATGACAGATGGCGGTGTCATTGTGGATAAGTCCCGAAATTGCCTCCATTTGGATCCTTTGACGTGCGGGCCCTCTGCGCGACCCCTGCTAATGGTGGGTTTGATTGAAAAAGTAGCAGCAAAGCATTTGGTCAGTGCCCGCAAGAATATCGACCAAGCGTTTGTGAACCAGGAGGATGGACGTGGGCGTTGCCTGCAGTTTGCAGGCGTCAATTTTCAGGAGATTTGGGAATTGGACAGCTCGGTGGTTGACCATGATCGCCTCATGTCGAACGACACCTGGGCCATTCGACGCACCTACGGGGTTGAAGCTGCTCGCAACAATATTGTGGAGCAAATCCGCAGCGTCTTTGGCGCTTATGGGATCGAAGTAGATCCCCGGCATTTAAGTTTGATTGGCGACTACATGACCAATGAAGGCGGCTACAAACCCATGAATCGCATTGGAATGGAGCAGACCGGGTCTACGTTGCTTCAGATGAGTTTTGAAACCACTGCCCACTTTTTGACACAAGCTGCGTGCATTGGCAGGAAGGACAATCTCGACAGTCCCAGTGCCAACATTGTGCTCGGAAGGCCTATCAAGCACGGAACTGGTGCTTTCGACGTTTTGGTCAACAGTTCAGCTTGACAATGCGGGCGGAGCAGTGAGGAATAGCTAACAGCCAAGGCCATCGAAATGAGAGCCTGTATGGAACGTTTGTGTTAGCGCTTTGAGAGGATTGGGTGCCTATTATGATAGTGGATAAGAATATTTGAGATGGTTGCTGGCATTGCTATTGTGACGTTCTCACAGTAGATGAAGAGCTATGGCTTGCGTGGTAAAGTTGATACTTTGTTAGAATTGTATTTCGTCTCCAGCCAGCAGCCAAAGAAGCAAGAAAGAAGTACCATGTAGTTCAAGCCGCTGGCGAGTGTTGCTATCTTTCCGAGCCCCTTCCGTCAACGACCACCGTCCCAACTACCGTCGTCGCTATGGCGTTATCGAGAAGAGATGCTCTTCGGTTGCACTTACGAGGAGGCACGGTGAGGCTGCTTCAGCTGCTGTGGGCTTTCTGAATGGTGGGCAGTCGCTTATCATAGAGGACGACCAGTGTCTTGTCCAGTGCGTTATCGAGCCCGCATGCCCGACGAGGCTGGGGTGGCTGGAGGTGCCAAGCTCAAAGAACCAGAATCTTTTCTACTAGCAAACCGTACGGTCCAAGAAAGACTCACGAATCCGGTTTCCGATTAGCAGCAACGACATTGATGAACGATAGGATAAGCGATGCTTCAGGAAGGGACTTGAGCCTGCGGTGACTATTAGCCAGCGCTTTGCTTGCATTATTCTGGGTTTGAAAAGGCGAATCTCATCGTCGAAAAACAGGAAAGCACTGTGTCAACCATCTTTCCCCAGTGCAGCACTCTTCAATGTCCACTGTTCGAAACCGACGAGGCAAAGATGGAGAAGCTGAAGTCGAACAGTAGGATGGATGGAGGAAAGTTGCGCAATAGTTTAAAATGTGAGCAGCCCCCGTGATGAAAAACCTAAGCCGCACTGGCCCCTTCTGGCTTCCATGGATAACCTACCTACGATCTATCAAAAACAACTAGCTAGCTAGCTAGCTAGCTAGCTACATGTAGTTACCGCACCATAAATTATTTGGCACGCTCACCAGCTCTCACTGTACTAGAATGTACATCTACCGCCATGGCTTACTTGGTCAGCTGACTGGTGAGCTGGGTAATCGAAGATTTGATGGTTATTGAGTAGGTACAGATTTATTTGATGGATTTGATAGCGGCCGTTGATTCGATTCGATTCTTTTACAGGTACCCGATTAGCCAGTGACCAGCGCAAGAGAGTCTTTTTCGCTCTTTAATTAAGGCGTTCATACTTCATGCTGGTATGCATACCAGTAAGAAGAACATCGACTACTCAAGAACGGAGAGCTTTCGGAGAAGTGAGTTCCAGCAAGACCTCGGGGTTCTTTTATCAGTACAAAATCGCCTTAGTATCCAAGATTCTAAAGGGAACTTTTGCGAAATGCCGAATTGCCTGAGGAATTCTTTAGTTGGTAAAAAAGAAGCTTAGCGTTCGCATTGTTTTGTCGCCCTTCTAGTCTATTTCTGATGATGCAGCAAACCTCAATACCTCCAAGCCGCTCCTTATGCCTCTCGAATCCACTCCACCAACCACCTATTTTAAATACCACCAATGACTTGCTTGCTTGCTCTTGGTCCACTCGGCTCCAGATAGACAACGATACCGGTACCGCAGGTTGCCTTGGTTTCTCTGGCTCTAGCTAGCTAGTAGCTGGCCAGACCACCCGGCACGTATCTGTGGCTTGTTTTTTTAAAAGTTGCAGTGGTCTCCAGGGGCCCTCCTTTGCTCTTCGGGTAGTGGAGCTTCGGAAACCAGTATGTATATTATCTGTAGTACTGGATGGAGGATGTAGTAGCTGCTGACCGGTTCACCACTGTTGGCTGTTGGGAAAAAAAGAAACCAGCATCTTTGCAAGCAGGAGCTCCTGGTAATTTATTTCCCCCTCTAGCTACATGTACGGTAGCGTGCCGGTTGGGTAATGGAGCACGAAACCGGTGAGACCAGCTGTGTCCAGGAGAAAAACAGAAACAATCAAGGTGCATGTAGGCTGGCTGCAGACTGATTCGATTCGATTCAATCTTCTACTCGAGTATATTCACTTGGCTTGCTAGTCTACAGTAGCTACGGGCAATGGTTGTACATGTATTTAATTAAAATAAAATGCGTAGTTCGACTAGTTGGTTAGTTTTATTTTACTTCGTACTATCGTCGCTCGTTCGTACTATGCAATGACATAAAAAAGTGCGTGCATCAAATCAAATCAAATCAAATCAATTGAATAGATAGATACATGAGTGTGGTTGCCTGCTCTTGCTCCGTGGCTGGTCGTTAGGTTGTTTGCTTAGGCAGCAAATGCGGCGGAAATGTTCTGTGATTCGTCGCCGTTGTTAGCAGGCGGAGCGGGGAACTTGAACCAATCATCTCCCAGAGGTGCCAAGCTGTGTCTCTTTTGCTGCGGTCCCGCATGCTGCAATACATTTTCGAGCGCTCCAAAGATGGCGTTTGCATCAAAGTTCGCCAAAGAAGCCGCCAAGTCGGAAGAATTGGTGGTAGCGTTGGCGTAGTTGCTGTTGTTTCCTCCAGTGAGAGGAGGCATGGCGGGCATGTTTTGTAGAGGGGTAGGCTCGAATGGGTTGATATTGAATGGGTTTGCTGTGGCATCCGTGTTGCCATTGTTATTGGCATTGGCACTGTTATTGGCATTCAATGTCTGAGAGAGAATGTCAGGAAGAGAGTTGAGCAAGTTGGACAGGTTGCTCTGATCAGCAGTGGCATTTCCAAGTCCATTTCCAAGTCCATTTCCAAGTCCATTTCCATTTCCACTGACAGTCTGCATTCCCAAGGAGAACGAATGCCCATTGCTTGCAGTTGCTCCAGGATGAGTGGTAGTGGCCCCTGTCATGCTTCCCCTAGTGACCAGAGCAGATAGATCCAAGCTGTTCCTCTGCATGATTGAAGGAGCTTGAGCCTTGGGGGACCAAAGAGGCATTTCCAGATCAAACAAGTTGGAGGGAATGCCTGAAGCTTGGAGACTTGGAGGAGCTTGATTGACAGCAGCTGCAGAGGCAGCAGCATCTGATGCCATGGAAGCAAAGCCTGCAGCAGCATGAGCATGAGCAGCATGAGAAGGAGGAGGCATGGTCCTCATTCTCTTGGCTTGAGGGACAGCATTAGCATTAGCAGTAGCATTGAGAGTAGCAGAAGGACTGCCTCTCTTCTTATCTTCTTGTTCTTGACGACGCTTGTTTCTCTTGGCCACGTTGGAGGAACGGTACGTCTCTGCCAAATTATCTCGGAACGTTTGCGAGCATTTCTCGCGGCACAAGAGAGGCTCGGCATAAACCCACTGGCCGGTCTTGAGGTCCCGCTTGACAAAGCGTCCATTCTTGCGGACGTACTCAACAACATCACTGATGATGTTGGACTTGTCGCTCTTGGTCTGAGCCTGCTTGTACTCACCCAACATGGACGCCACCAAGGTGCGCAGCCATTGATTGCCCGTGTGGAAATAGAATTTCTTACCCTTGCCAATCACAACATCGTGTTCGCCTGGTACAAAACCAGCGGGAAGTTCAGGAAGGTTGGTGGAATCAGAGACTGAGGGGCTCATGGTCGATAATAAAGTAATAAAGTAATAAAATAAAAGTAATAAAATAGACTTGTTGGCTGTGACTGTGAAGGGTACCTGGTAGTGTGTCTTACTGGAGAGAAGGAAAAGAAAAGGTTGGTAGCTGGCTAGTAATACTAGCTAGTAATAGCTAAGGAAGGTGCTGCTTGTAGCTTTTAGCTTTTAGCTTTTAGGATTCGCTGAAGCAAATATTGTGAGAGGACTTGAGAATCTGCCTGGAATGTAATCTACCTGGCTCCTTCCTACAGTGACCCTCGCCTTCCTGCCAAGTAAGTCTGCTGCTGGTTGATCCTCTTTACAACGTCGTTGTTGCTGCTGCCGGTGATCAAACCGGTGATCGCCTACCCGGCTTTCAATACCACTTTCTACACAGCTACGCAATCACCAGTACTCAACGCACGCAAAAGTCGCCGTTCTTTCGACCCAGACCAAACTCGGAGATACAATATGTTTCCAACCACTGAAACTTTTTTCCGCTTCCTCCGTCAACAGCTTGACACCTTGAAGCCTCTTTCCAAGTGAGCCAGCCGGTCCTACCAGAACCTGTACAATCACACACATTCGTGAGAACAGAAAAAGACGTTCTTTCAGTGTTCCGAGACGAAACATGCCATTCTTCAAACTATCAATAGCTACCCACACATGTCCAATCTACACAAAATCATATTGGACAAGCAAGTTCAAACGAACGCCATCAGTCGCCACCTCACATTCCAATCGATTGAAAACACTGAGAACTCCAAAGAAGTTCATACCAGTCTCTAAAGCACTTTCTGACAAAGAACGATCAGTGTCATCCAAGGCCCTTCAAATTGGATATCCTGATTTAGTGAATTCCTTTCAGAATCCTTTCAGAGTTCGCAACTTACAGGAGGTTCTTTTAATTCGACATGTCCTAAGAAAGCTTTTCTCTGACGTCAACCAATAGCCACGAACATTTCTTAAAGCTATCTTTCAAATCGTTCCTACATACTGGTTTCTTAAATCATTTTATTAGCGTGAGATCACATAGAGATTCTAGGAGTTAAAGTCAAATCTTGGTTTCCAATCACTGACTATTGCCCCACTTACAGAGCTCACAGCAAAGTGGTACATTCTGGACAGTTTTTCTGGACTCTTCTGGTGTTCTGGTGTGCTAATCGTCGTTCTCCTCTCTCATCCTGGTGGTCCAGCTAATGCCACCTGGTGCCAGCTGATGTGGTCACTCACACCAGCACCGGTACTGCGACCGGTAGAAGTTGTCACGCAGTGGAATCTTCAACCTCACAAGAAGCCACACAAACATCACGCAGATGGCTTGGGACACTATTGCCACATTGCCACCATCAGATTCTGTTCTACGGCATCGATTGATTGAGCTATTGATTGCTACGGTATGCTGGGCGCTCCTTTGGTAGACTAACTACCGGTACTCTAGCCAAACTGCCAGTAGTTAGCACACTCGAAGGGCCTGCATTCTTGCATCAGGTACTGAGTATTAATTAAGGAGTTCAATTTGACAATTCTCACCGGTGAGGGAACCGCAAAGCAAAGGTGATTTATTTGAAGAATGAGAGACTGTTTGAGCATAGTGGAAGCTGCTAGAAGGAAAGGAAAATGACATGCGCAGCCATTGGCAACACCAAGCTGGCTGCGGTACCTGGTACCGGTACCGTAAGGGAGGCTGGAGGTGGGATTCTTCAAAGGAATAGGCACTGCAAGAGAGAATTATACCAAAGGAGAAGACAAAGACTTGGTAGTACCTCATCGCTCCTGCAAGATTACTACTGCAGCCAGAGATTGCTTGCCAGTTGGCAACCATCCCAACCATCTTCCCTCTCAACTCTCAATTCTGCATCCACTGCCTTGCTTGCCTGTGAACATAGAGCGCTATTCATATTCTACTATAACGACGCAATCACTGGTATAAACGAAGCAGGAAGGGCTGTTCGAGATTGCCCACAGGAATTAGAAACGAAACAAGAGAATCTTACTAGGGCCGTTCGCTGACCAGCCAGTAACCAATGCCTTCGGCTATTTGAATGGCTCAGGGCGCAGGGAGCCAATCTAAAAGCTGCATTCGGAGCTCTGTGAGGCCGTTGGGGCGTTGATTCAAAGCAAGCAATTCAGCACAGCCTTCCCCGGTCGGTCCAGCTAGCATCAGCTGCCGGCGTGAGGCAAGCAAACATTGCAAACATAGCAGCAGACGGATCGAAAAGCCTATGGAAAGTCCGACGAACTTTTGTTGCAGCAGTAGGCGAAAAAAGAATAATCCAAGCGACAACTATTGCCTGTCGCCCAATGAATCGCGTCTCATCTTTGATCAATGTGGTGCACTTTAGTGTAGTGGCTCAAAAAAGAAGCACTGTAAAATATTGTCTTTCGTTTCTCCACTCGGACTGTCTAGAAAAGAAGGAAACGAATCCCTATTTAATCCGTCCGGAGGGTAACGAATGCTAAGCCCAAGATTCTGTAAATTTTGTGTTCTTTCAACTTACAATGACCCTTTAGAACTTGTGGACGATCGTGGTGCGGGTATGAACATTCTTATCGAAACCTATCTACTGGTACTTTCAAAGCAGATTCTGGCTATTGGTGCATGACATTGTGCATGTTGTACCGTCGGTCAACCAAAAACTCAACGACCCGAATAGCCCAATGAAGCGGCAAGAAAGGAACCCGAATGGAAATATGCGTCCGAGTCGGGTTCGCAGCACGCAGGTAGTTGTCACCTCTTTTATAAGTCAATCCATGAAAGGAGGCTGCAGTCAACTCAGATCGGATTGATTCGGAGGTGCTGAGAATCCTATGTCAGCAGTACCGGTACTACTAGCTAGCACTACTTTGACATTACCTTACGTTCTGGTCTCCGATTCGGCTTCGGGCGTTTCTGCTCTCTTGCTAGCTTGACTTGCCCATGTTTTGTGCCTTCACGGTACCGGTATTGGGCGAGCGACAACCAAGCGACAAAACAACCAGCCAAGCTACGCTAGTCTATGTTCAAACGAGGACGTGGCCGGTTCCAGCTGCTAGCCATCAGAGGGACTTGATCAAATGGCCTAGCTATTGGGTCAACCAAAGCGAGGCGTTGTACATGGTGGCTGCCTTTTGGCCTGGGTTTCAGACACGAGATCAACAGAAAACTCAGTCCAGAGCTTCGTCGTGCAAGCTAGACAATCACATAGCTGGTGGTACATTTGTTCTCCCTCAAAACGTTGAAGTCTTGCTCCAACAAAGATACCACTGGATTCGAGTAGGATAGGTTCGATAGGACACCACACAGAAAAACTGGCTCCTTTGAACGTTTGCTTGCTAATACTGGAGCATTGGCCCTGGTGCCTTCTGACGTTGCCTACCTCGCCAATGCCGTGCCTGCCTATCTGCTCCCTCTCTTTGCATTCCTGTGTGGCTGACCTGGGGGGTCTGGTGCACGCTGCGGTCCGCCGTGGTACCTGTAGCTGTCCTGTGTCTTATATAGGTGTGGGCCGCCTTTAGCTATGCTGGCCAGCAACCTTTCTCTCTAGGCTACATGTACTGCAGTAGTATCAGTAAATCTGGGTAAGACAAACTCACAAGCCAGAGCGACTTGGCCAATTCTTCTCTGTCCCCAGCTTACTTGGGGCTGGAAGAAGTTTGGCTCTTGCTGGTTATTGCGAAGTGCGTTTTTCTTGCTGCTTAATCGCTTTGGTGAAAGGCAGGTTCACCTGGTTCACTCAGGGAGATCGGAGGGTTGAAAGATACTCCAGATATTCTTGAATGCCTAGCTAGCTAGCCAGTTCCTTGCCGCACAACTACTCCTAATAACTACTCCGCTGTGGTGAACTGGCTGTACCGCTACACAGGACGGGCCTTCCCCAATACGGTCCTAGCTGGTCTGTCAAGGAAGAGATCCACTTCCGAGCACCTGAAATCAAACCAATATCGTACTGCCTCACATATCTGAATAAGGGCGGGCAAAACCCATTCGCAGCCATGCACACAGAGCAAGCAATTGTATATCACAGACTTTGCTATCAGCGCTGAAACTGAATCGAATGTTGATATATATCATCTGCCGAGTTCATTTGTTTTGTTTTGTTTTGAAAGCCTGGAAAGGGAACCACTCTTGTGGTAGCGCTTCCTTCTCCTGGTGGATCTTCATGGCAAAGGGTGAAATCCAGTTTGCCGGAACAAAAAAAAAATATAACTCTCAGAGTATCAAAAGTCTTGAAGACTGAGTGAAGTCCAAAGTCCAACGCACCCCCACCGAACCGACAGCTCAAGTCACGCTCGCAGGGTCCAGTCCTTGTGCATTAGTACCGTAGGTGGGACCAGCCTTAATGACACAGAACATATGCATGCTTCTGATGACTCGACTCGCCCAGTAGCTGTTGCCTGAAGCAAAGCGCTGTTCCGGTGTTGCCCATCCGCATGAGATTCGGGCAAGTATACAAGACGAAGGGTCCGGCTCTTCTTGATTCGAATCCGCCACAAACAGCTCGCCGATGCAGGATACCGGTAGGACCTTGCTGAAGAGGACCTGCGCCTAATCGGGTATTGCCACTATCCGAAGCGACTTTTAACTCGCGGCTGTCCTTTCCGTGTCAATTTCGAGCAGCAAATAGTTTCGAGAGTTGGGGGTCGGCCACAGGGACAAAAGAAACGTAGACACATACAACCCCGGAGCCAGCCGCCACTGCTTCAACCTGCTTGCTTCTGGATACAGTCAACTGCAACCATCCAGATCTCAAGAAGATCAGTTGCGGTTGCCACGTATCGTAGTTTTGCGCCAGGCTTCAAGCCTAATATGCAAACTGGTACCGGTACAGCAGCCCACAGCTCACTGCAGCACAGCCCGAGCTTGCGTTTTTCTCAAAGGCACTACAGCGTAGGTTGCCACTCCATGCGAGTGTCCAAACACCGACTTCAACGGCAAGCACGCAATCAAGCAAAAACGTTAGGGATCGACTCGAGTTGAAGACCCAAGAGTGGTCAACATTCAGAGGCAGACCAGTACTAGTCTGGCTGCAATGCAATCGAAGCTCGACGATTGCGTCTCGGGTGACCTTCAAGTTGCCCTCGACACCAGTACATTTATTTCACAACGACTGTCACTCGACACACTGGGTGGATGGGGTGAGGCTACCTGTACCGGTACCGTACGGGTGGGACCCTGGAGGCGGTTCGGTTGGTAAACTGCTGCAAGGCTCGCTTGGGGCTTTTGGGGCTCCCTGCATTCAAACTGCAGCGTCCACCGGCGAGCATGCTTCCATTCTGAGGAGCAACCTGCTGATTGATTCGATTCGATTCGATTCAATCTCATGGCCACTGAAGTCTGAAGGCTGTGACTTGCACTTGGGAACGGCAGCACTACAGCAGAAACAAGAACAAATGAATCTCATGGAGCAAGTTACTCTAAAGGCTGTCCCCTGCCGGTACAGGTAGCACAAACATCCAGCGTGTTGTTGTCTCATCATCGATCGTAAGATCGAATATATTCGAAACAATTGAGATTCGAGTGAGTCGAGTCAGTCGAGTCATTTTCATTCAATGTTGCGTTGTTTTCCTGTGCTCGTCAACGAAACAACTCTGGCGCTGCTAAGCAAAAAAAGCCTCCTCTAGCTAGCTAGTGCTGTAGCTCTATCTAGTGCTAGCTATTACTAGTACCGGTAGAGTAATAGCAATAGCATGTTCGGCCTTGGGCGTTACTTGTATGGACTTTGCGACCGCATTGTGACCCGAGTACGAGAACTACTCGTGGTTCCCACAGGTCTTCCGAGGGATCGTGGTGCCGGTACTGATTCTACGGGAAATCCACGTAGCGCAAGTGCGCCGCCAATGACAGCCGAACAACGGCAACACGAAGAACAACGCAAACGAGTCAATGCTGATCGCTTCTATTCCAACGGGCATCTCATTGAAACCGTACAAGATGAAAGCCAGAGCAACTTTGACGAAGAGGCACAACAAGCTGACAACCACAAGACCATGCACGAGAAACCCCATCCCTATCAAGACAAGGATCGAATGACCACTCTCATGGAACCCATCGAAGAATGATGGAAGCAAGAGTATCAGGTGCAAAGCTAGTTAGTACCGGTAGCTGGCGAGCTAGCTTCCAGCGTCCAGCTGGCTGGCAAAGCAATGCAATCTGGACCAGCCTCCAAGCCGCACTGTACCGGAATTTGTCTAAGGATTCTCAGAATGCACGGGCTAGTATTGATCATTGATGCTGCGCATACAAAAACACCAATACCGGCCCAATAGGCATCTTGACCTGCAAACACTCAGATCTGACTGGCCTACGGGTATGCAAGATCACATTTCCTTGCTTCACACATCCCCTCAGGCCAACTCCTTGCTTGGGCTGTCATACGAACTGGTAGTAGTAGTCCGGCTACCACATCAATCTGGACGACCTGTGACTTGAGTACGGTAGGATAGTTTCTCTCGATGGTGCATTTCAAAAGTATTACAGCGGTATTTGCTTTCTTAATATTTTTATTTACTGTAGGCGTAGTGGTCGGTGCGTAGTTACATGTATGTACAGTGCTGGTTTGCACAAATAAATGTATGGGCATGGTCGTCAACGTTTACCTCTAGTAGCAACCGATACCGGTAGCCACTGCAGCAGTCTTCATTCATACCAAAGCTCTCAAGACGACGGAGCGATCGGCGTCGCAAGCTCGCTGCGATGACCCAGTCGTTGCCACAGGAGCTCCACGAAGCCCTTGTCGTCCTCGTCGATAATCTTCATCTTGATCATCTCCTCTCCATCCGTTGAAGAAGATGACTTGTTCGACGCACGTCGCTGCTGGTCACGGTCTTCCTTCATCCGCACGACTTCTTCCTTGACCGCAGAAGGACACAAGTTGCAGCGCCGAACGTGATCATACAAATCTTGAATCTGCGCTGGAAGTTGCTTCTTCTTGGCAGGGAAGACGCGAGACAAACCCAGACGTCCCGCTTGACAGCAATACCGGCATCCCAGACCGGGGACACCGGGACGCAACGACTTGCGATTGCCAATGCATTCCGTAGGCAGCAAACGAATCAGCTGATACTGAGTGAGCAGAGTGTACAAAAACTCACTCTCAATCACATTCTGTTCCAAATCTTCTGGATTCACCAACAGTCTTGGAGGACTGTCCAACGCGGTATTGTTCGTTTCGCCTTCCCCAAAACTGGCCGTCCCGAACGGTGGTTTGTTTCGTGCCGCTGCTTGCGTTTGTTCGTTGAGGACTATCCCGCAGTCAGAGTCCACCATGCCAAGCTTCACGGCCGAGTAGATCCAATATCTCATGGAATCAGACGCTCCTTGCGTGTTGTTCCTTTTCAACGCCAGGAAACGTTCCTTCTTCTCGGTCGGGATCGCCGGGCAATTCCCGAAATGGTCTCTGCAAGACAAACAGACGAAGAACAATAATAAGCGTGTGAGCGGAATTCTACCATCATTTGGCAACGTGACGCGTTGGGCGTGAAAACACACAATCTCCTTGCTTACCTCAGCATCATTGTGAAGGACTGATAAAGCTGTCGGATCGAAGAAGGAAAGGCAGAAGACCGGATAGCACGAGTGCTTGGCTTCCAATGGGCGCAGTGCCGGCATCGGATCCCCACCTGCTGGAAATAAACCTTCTTGCTGGCAACACGAATCTTGACGTCTTGGTGGCTTGCGCGAAAGACCTGCAAAAGCTCTTTGCGTACAAAACACTGGAACTCAGACAACCAATTTTGATCTTCTTCCATGGCCAAAGGCACATGGACACGTTGATCGTAGTGACGAGTCTCCCCTTCTTCAATCGGTGGAAGCAGGTATTGCATTTGCGACTCGGGAGGAGGAGGGGGAACCGGAGGAGCAATCGGTCCGAGCATGGGAGTGGCACGGGCAATGGTAGATGATAAGGAAGACGTCCTTCGGAATGCGGGAGTCTGTCCAGCCGATTGTCTTCCGGCAGATGCGGACGACCCAGTTCGTTCCAAGGATGTCTCTGGAAGGGGAAGACCTCGACCAACGGACCTGAATCGACCAGAAGCGGATGTACCGTCAAGAGAGTTGGGGAAGCCCAGCTGCTGTTGGGACTGCTGCTGCTGCTGCTGAGACATGAGACCAAACTGTTGCTGCTGTTGCTGAAGCAACTGTTGCTGTGGAAACTGTTGCTGAAACATCATGTTATTGCCCAGGGACGTGTCTGCTGACAAGGAGGTTCCAAACGAATTTCCCGCATTGGAAATTCCACTCAAGAGGGAAGTCGAGGAGGAAGGCACGTCGGCAGGAGAAAGCTGATGCGACTGTGAAAATCCCAAGTTCCCACCGGGCCCACCCGCTCCACCGCCTCCAGGAAGTGCGCTGTTGCGGCGTAGCAACTGCAACTGCCGCCTCATGACAGCTTCTTCGTTGATCTGCTGATCTAGCTGTCGAAGACGTTCTTGTTGGTCAAGCTGAAGCATTCTTTCCTGCTGTTGCCGGAGGAGATGCAGCTGCGTCAGGTTGCCACCATCCATCCCAGTAGCTGCGTTCCCTGTTCCGCCCGCGCTGCCACCACCACCACTGGCAAAGGCTCCCGCTGCAGAGGACCCGAGACTGTTCGCGGAGAGGTTCATATTAGCAGAATTGTTTACGTTGATGCCGTTCATCCCTGATGCTGCAGTTTGGTTGGAACGTAGGAGCAACTCGGAAGCCCAGAGCTGATTTTGCTGTGGGTTGGAAGCTGTCAAATTCATGTTTGACTGATCGTCCAAGCTACTGAAGAGAGGGTTTCCGTTGCCATTGTTGAATCCCGTTACCCCGTTGAAGTTCCCACCCGACCCATTGAAGGAAGGTATTGGTGCTGGCTGCTGCTGATTTTGTTGTTGGTGCAGAGTAGCAAGATTTCTTCTGAGTGCCGCGTTTGCATCAGCAAAGTCTTGTACCGCCCCCACATTGAAGTTTCCTGGACTTGTAGGAGCACGTGGAAGAGGCTGTGCCTGAGCAGGCACCGGGGAGAAGCCAAGGGGTTGATTGGATTGCTGCTGGTGAGGAAATGTCCTGTTTGGCTGGAACATGTTGTTGGAGGTGGGTCTTGGTGTATCAGCAACATTGCCGCTGAGGGCTCCGGATATGGCGGTGTTCATATCACGAAATCTCTTGTTAGGCTGAAACTGAAGTTGTTCCTGCTGCTGTTGCAACATGGCCATGGTTGGATCCATCATGGTGTTTCCTTGCATGAAAGAAGTGTTGTTGTTGTCTCCTGGTTCTGACCGTTTCTTGCTGTTGCCCCCCTTGCTAATACCAGCAGGATCATTTGGCATGGCGAGTGATTTCTTGGCGTTGGCATTCCCAGCGTCATTGGCATTCCAGTTGAATGCCCCCGGTCCTGAAATCCCTGCCGAGTTTCCCCCGCCTGCAATGGCATTGGCGTTGTTCCCGATGGCATTCATGGTTGTGAGTCTTTCTTGTACAAAGTCCGCATTGATCATGTTTGCGGAAAATGCAGTTGGGTTGACTAAGTTTGCGGGCATTTCATTGGTCTTTGCTTCTTCAAAGGAGTTGCCTCCCGCGTGCGCATGCGCCTGAGCATGAGCTCTCGCGGCCTGTTGGAAGGCTTGAGCGTGCGGTGAAAGATGGTTTGCGCTGGGGTCTCTTCCGTCCATTGTGAACTGCATTGCTCGTCTTGCTGCAACGGGCCAGGTCTTGATGGTCTTGTTTTCCTTGAAGAGTGGCTGGTTGGGTCTGTGATGAATGTTTGCAACAAAAAACACGGCATTGGTAAGACAACGTCTAACTTGCTCTAGCCAGCTAGGTAGCCTCAGTGTTTAGCTGCTTTAAATCAAGGCTGTGGTGTGACTGTTCCTATGCATACCTTGAATAGCTTGCTTGTTCTTTGCCTGGTTTGATTTATTCTCAAAACCTTCCAATGACAAAAAGGAGTGGAGTACTGTACAGCACCGAGAGAAGGTTTCAAGTGCAAGGCAAGGGCAGAAGGTTAGCAAGAGTGCTGCATGCAGTGTAAGCAATGGACAACCTTTGCCAGTGGCTGGAATTGTGTGGTGGCTAGCTAGCTAGAGAGCTATCAGTATGAGGTGGCTAGCCACAGCCATGTGGGGGGCAGGCGCAGGGTTGTTTGGTAGGACGGTAGCTAGCAAAGCAATTGTACACCCAGCACCCATTACCCACACGAGCTGACCCAGCCTCCTCAGCCAACTGCTTACTAGCTAGCTAGTAGCTAGTAGCTAGCCAACTTGACTCAGAATGATCAATCGAATTTGAATGACATCGAACCCACCTGCGAGAAGCACATGAACCGTCAAAGCAGCAAAGCAGCCAAAGCAAAAGGTTAGCAATCAGACAGCAATGAGACAATCATATCATTCCATCAGCCCTCTGCTCCTTCCATAAGCTTACCTGAAGAGTGAAGAGTCTCTGCTCTTGCCTGAAGCACTGGCTGTTAGTGTAGCTGGTAGTGTAGCTGCTAGCTAGTAGCCAATGAGTAGGTAGCAATGGAATCCTGATCAGATTGAATCAATTGGCAAAGCTAAGCCTTCACTTTGTTGCGCTGCTGTTGGTTTACGGCGGCGGCGGAACTGTTGCTTGTAAAGGCGCCACTGTTGAGGCAATCAATGCTTTGTATTGTAAAGATGGCGCTTTGCTTTACTGGTACTTGTAAAGGAAGTTGTGTTCAAAACATTTTGTGTGCTCAGCCAACCTACTAGCTAGTAGTAGTCCTGGAGAAGTAAAAGAGCAATTTTTACTACTGATATCATTCTTAGCTCTGTAAGAGACTCGTAGGAATCCTACCAGCAGCCATATTCAACAGAAATACAGGAGGGAACGTGGCCCTACAAATCTCACGCGTTCCGTAGGCGTGTAAAAGCGAGCCTGTTTCTCTTACTCATGGGTGATGATAACACGATAAAATAATATGTAACACAAGCTAAACAGTTTCGTGTCGGTGGCTATCGCGAGTGTGCTGGTACTAGTATACCTGCAACGTGGCCTCTGTGGAATGGATCTTTGTTTCTAAGTATTAATGCTGGGAGCAATCAGGATCAGTTGCCGTCCCCGAGCATGGAGCAGAAAGCATCTGCCTGCAACTAGGACTATGGAAAGTCAAGAACTCTTTCTATCCACTGTCGGGGAACTAGCATACTAGCATCCTAGCGAAGCTTCCTTGGAGCTGGATACGGAGTAGATAGCAAGCAACCCTCTCACTTTACTTTCTGTCAAGAACTGGGACACGCTCAAAGCTCGCTCAAGCCAGAAATAATGAACGCATACAGGTTCACTCTGGTACTCGGTTGCCGCATGAGCGAGCTCTGTCCATGCTACCTGGTACAGCGCCACCGATCTCGCGATCAAGGCGATGCAAGTAAATGAAAAGGATCTACCACGTGTACTTCCTTCAGTAGAGTTCCGTAGGCAAGTTCTATTGAAATGGACAATTCAAAGAAACACACTGGGACTTTCATAGGGGTTGAAATGATATGAAAGGGGCTCTCATTATCTGACCAAACCGCCAAAGTACTTAAAGGCTTCCCCCAAATGAAAAAATCTGCTTTCCCAAACCGTTTTCACTTGCTCTATCCAAAGGTTAGATGCAATCAAAGGATACAGTCCCCCAAAAGTATAGTTCCAAAATCAATCATTTGTCAAAGTCGCTTAGGGGGAATAGCAAGATTTGTAACACAAAACCAATGATATTGCACTCCTCATCGTCCACAAGACTCGTCTACAATCGCGCAATCGACAGTGTCTTGTCCAATATTGCATATACGGATATGTCGCCAATAAGCAGTTATAATGCTCTGGCTGCCATGGTAAGCAGTTTAGACACCCTCTCAATTCTTGCAAGACCTATTACCTATTAAACGTTCACGTGCATATTCCAGGCAAATGGATAAATGGGACAAACTGGGAGGAATCACAGAGAATATCATTTGTTGCCACTAGCTTGCCATTTAATTAACCTTCGATGAGAGTCAATCTTGGCCTTCTTAACTCTGGGCGTGTCAACATATACTAGACGTAACTAGACAAGGCGAATTGGAGGATCAAGGAGTTCGTGGACGTTCCCCATTGCAAAACGGTATTGGTACTGATTCTACATCAGAGCTACATCAGTTAGTTGTAGCTGTAGTTGCCACGTCTTCCTGCTATATCTCGGATGTCGAGAGTGTCGAAAAGTAGAGCTTCCTAGAGTACTCTCCTTATATAAAGTGTGATTTAAAAGGATTTGCTTCTAGAACATTCTGGGGAGTTGCACGTGGCAAAAAAATAGTTGGAATTGAACTTTTTTGGTTGTGGGCTTGCTGGCTTCGGATTCGTTGGTCGCGCACTGCTTCAGAATCTTTCTGGCCATGCAGGATTTCGGGGCGCACCGTCCATCAATTGTTGCATTGAATCGAGTGGTTCGATTGAATGATTCAATCGATTGACCAACCGTTATTGTACAGTACAGCGATACGTTGCAGGGATCCAGATGAACCAACACCTTTAACGAGGGCAAGCAAAGTTTCCCTGCACGCATTCAAACCCATGTGTGGCAGTGTTCATGGTTCGAACTTGACGGAGCGACACAGTCCGCAAGCGAAGGTCAACACAGGACGAGATGCGATTTGGATTCTTGGCTCGTTGGGGGCTGTTGATGCCATGCATCCTGCTCACTGCAACCTGCACGAAGCGATTGCTGATGATTCACCCAGCATGCATGATCAGCAAAGCCACAAGGACAGAAACGTACGGAATGAGGGCGTAGCTACAGAGGCCGCAGCCTGAAGCAGGCGTAGAAAACTACCAAGAACTAGGCACCACCGTCCTGCTTTTCAGGTTTTGCAATCGTCGACTCAACTGTCAACTGGCTGCATGTTCGTGGCAAGAAGCCTGAGACCAACTGACTGGCCTGGCTGAACAAACACAGTGGCTGGCAGCCACAATGGCACAGTGGTACAGTGGCCACTCACCACATCAGTCAGCAATGTACTACACGTAGTATCATAGCACGCCCCAGCAACATCCATCCAGACAGCCAGACACCAAGGCAGCCATGCACCCATCCAGTCACCAGCCCAAAGAAGCAGCCAACATGCTTGAAGAGGCTAGGGAACCACCAGCCAGGATCCCAACCAGCCAAGATCCCAACCAGCCAAGAACCAAACGATTGTAGCGATTGATTTGGTGGTTGTTTGGTAGCTGCAGCGCATCCCGTTTGGTTCTTCCCCGGTGCCGTTGCTTGGCCTTTTAGTTTAGCAAACGTCACCGCAAAAGCCCGAACGTGGCTGGCTGGCTGGGTCAGTTTATGGCAAGAAGCAAGCAACCAGTGGACTGGTGGTGGCTGTGATGCATAGGCAGTACAGGCAACATGCCTTCGTTCGTTCACCCAGGGCCAGAGCACTGGCTGGTTGCTCGTTGCTCGCCTCACCATGGAACGCAGCGGTAGCCACCGTAGAATAAGATACGGTGATGAAGTACGGTACCGTTCAAGTCAAGTTACTACTGGCAGTGGCGGGGTTGAGGCAAGTGCCAGTACTGCCTACTACAGCCATGTAGGCATGTAGGAGATCGGAAAGGGCGAACACTGGCGGAGCTAATGAGAAAGCGGCTTTGCCCAAGATTAGACAGGACCATGCGTGACGGGGGTCTTGGGTCTAGGTGATAGGTGAGTGATCTTAGAGTCAGTATTGGTTCGATACCGCAAGCAACTTGAATGCCCTCATCACTATCAGAGGGATTTTGGTGGAACATGGCTAGACTATACATACATTCATGTGGCTTTCCTTTTGGATCCAATTCCAAGATCAGACAGGAGTAACTAGATAAAGGGCGGATTGGAGCAAAATAGATTTATTCAAGTGAAGAAAGCTGTGCATGTGGATGCATCATGTGGCGACGACTGTTTGGTTATGTCCTCCATGCTGAGCATTCGCGCAATACCGGAACGGGATTCTAGCACAACTTCTCCTTTTCTTTGTTTGTTCTGCTGTTTGCAGATTGCCACTGGTTGTATCTGGCAACTGGAAAGCAGACTAGCTAGTCTATGGTCCCTGTACATCATCATCATGCCTGTATTGGGAGCTCGTGCTCTGTAAAGTGGCATCTCATCGGAAAAGAATCGAATCTTCGACTTTGTGAGCTGGTGGAGTTGGGGAACCGCGGGATCAAACCCGCTCGGGACTTAATCAAGGATAATGGTTCTTCGCAGGGCCCAGCCCCCTGACCGTCAGCTTTCGACTTGTAGCTTGGGTAATCATTTGGTAATATTTATTAAATCTTTTGATTCAGAAAATCTTATTACCTCAACTACATCAAAACTGAGCTGTCTTCCTGTGGTGACATGACATTTGTTGGCTGCAGAATTTCTGTCCAGCTGTATTCGCGTAGCATCTTCAATAGCCCTCAAACGAAACACTGCTAGTCGGAATGTGCATTCTGTTTTAAGCCCAGTCCTGTTTTTCTCAGTTAGGTTCACCAAGGCCTGTTTATCCGTAGATTTTTTGTGAAGGTCTCGCAGTACCCAATACCGCGCTGTATCATTTTGGTTATCAAGACAGTTTCTAGTATCTCCGGAGGTAGGCTTTTATGTATTGAAGGCCACTCGAAAGTGAATCCGTGGGTATTGATTGTTTAAGAATTCTTTGCTTTGAGTGTGCGACCCAGATAATGTTCTAAATCCTCAGAAACCAGTGTAAGTTTCAGGTGAATAGTAAGACATAAAGCTAACTTAATTGAGTGAAACAGCTTTGTTTCTAAGTAATCCCAATGACCGCTTCGACAAAGGAATAAGGATGTTCTCCTCACAGCTCCTCATCACTACCATGAAGTCCTGCAAAACTTCTCCTGGTAGACATTTTGAAGCTCATTTTGACTGGAATGTTGCAAAGAGTGGCTTAGTAAGGAGTACACCGTGACATTTCTCAATCTGGCTAAACCTGAGCATTGTAAACGCTTTGAACTCTCATAATATCTCTTCACTTTTGGTTCCCTCCTTCGGACCCTGGCAGTAACCGTTCTCTCTCTTTGCCCACAAAACAGAATTACTTTTTCTTGAACCTTGAAAGCCTTGACACAAACACTGCGTTGCATTGCACTGCTTATAAAAAGTTGACCATGTCAGTATCTCATCTCCACCAGGAAGATCCCTCCTTTGCTTTCACTACTACCACTACCACTAGCACTACCACTAGCACTAGCACTACCCCTTCTACCACTATCACTACCGGCCAAGCCATGGTAGCAGTAATGGAGTCTGATGTGGGCATTGAGTTTCCTGGGGACCACGGTAAGCATAAGTGCATGCAGGAAGCAGCCAGTACCAATTGGCTTGGTTTAGCGTTTGCAAAGTTTGCAAAGTTTTCAAGAATCGAGATCCGCTCACGATTTTTGGTCATGCTCTGATTGTATTGCTTGTTTCCGCTACGAACTTGAATAGATTTGCTGCTGGGACGTGGAGGAGAGACCAATTCACACAGGTAAGTCCTAGCTACCGTAGCCATCATGGGATCATAGGTTGCAAGCAAGCATTGTGGCTCACACTACCTTATGTTGTTTAATTCTTTGTATTCAGTGGAAACCAGCTCTTTCGCAGGTTGATTGAGGCTCACAAGGCCGTGTACATTTCCGCACCTCGAAGAAGCAAACCTGACATTGCCAAGACCCTGGTGGCTCAGTGGCGGGCCATGGACCCACCAGGAAGATTCCTTGCCAAGAAAATGATGCCAGGACAAAGCAAAAAGCTCTGGTATGAAATTGGAGACGATGCTGCCAGAAAACGCACCAGCAAGTCCCTAGGAGAAAAAAAGGGAGCTCCAATGGCTCTCTTGGCATCACCTGGACATGGACCTTCTAGTGGAACCCTTGTCAGAAACACTTCTGCTGGGTCCAATTCCACTTCCAGTAATCACTCAAGCACCAGCATCAGCACCAGCATCAGCATCAGCTCCAGCTTCAAACAACATCAAGACATCCAAAAGTTACCCTCAGGTCCATTGTCCCCACCTGATACTAGTACCAAGACCACCAAGACACAAGGAATGGAGTACATGGCATTTCTGCAGGGCATGGCTTCAGACGAACAACCAAGGCCGATACAGATGCAGATGCAGATACACAATGCTCTCTCACAGCGAATTGGACCTCAAAATCAGGAATTCTTGGAACAAAAGTTGCCACCAAGAGGACCTGCATCCCAAGACTTGCCAAAACTAGAAAAGAATAACTTCCACTTTGACAAGCTATTGCTGCTCCAACACAGCAGTCACCAGGACCCAAACGTAACCATGCAGCTGGGACGTCGCATGCCCACTGCCGCGGAGCTCATGGATTCCTGTGTGGGGGATGGATTCCTTTTTGACCACCACGATCAACGCCCACGCCAACTACGTGAACAAAAAAGCCACGCTGGTGCTGCTACTATTTTAACTACTTCACAAACAGAAATGGGCATGGAAATGAATCTATTATTTCATGCCATGCCAGAAGCACAAGCCAATTTTAACCTCGACGCCACAGCGGAAGCCACAAAAATGTCATGGCAAGCACAACTGTAGCCTGCACGCAAGTTTAGTTTTTGGGCATGGTACCGGTACCGGTGCGTGGATGGGATGCATCAGAACCAAAGAAACGGATTCAATCGAATGGAATGGAATGGAATGGAATGGAATGATTCAATCGATTGGAATGCACCTGTTCATAGCACAAATCAAAAATTCTTCCTTGTTCTTCCTATCCATCTATCCACGTAGTAGCTACTAGCTAGCTGGCACCGCGGACGAGTGTTCCTAACCCGTCCCATTGTACCGTACTGGTCCAGAAACGGGGAATCAATGCACCTCGGGCTTGTTCAGCCATTCGACGGCAAACACAATCGAAAACTCTGCTTGCAGGGTGCTAGCTAGCTGCCTGCCTACATGTAGCGGTAGCATCGTTTAGTAGGGGAGGACCACACCAATGACGAGGCACACTTTGCAATTGGTACCGGTATCGCTGAGTAAACGGGCAGCAAGGGCAAAACTTCTCAAAACACACCCCAATCTATCCTCCACCCTTCCTCCAGAGCCTGAGACCTACCGTGGCTCCGTGCCTGCACTTGGCTGCGCTGCCTGCATCTGGTCTCCCGGAGCGAGCTGGAAGTACGGTACTGGTAGTCAGTCCACATACTAGAGCTAGAGTAGGTCTAGCTCAGGCATTCTAGCTTCATACTGCACGGTCGGTTGCTACTCCAGTGGAGGCAGCCAGGCGGATTCTTCTTATCAATCCCGTCTTCGAATACAGACAGCTGAGCACATCATGATCCTTCGTGTCTTGAGAGTCCGTAGCTCTCCACAGCTTACAGGCCAGGCCCACTCAAAATAGAAGGTCAAGATGCTACAAGGCAGAAAGTTCGTCCTTGCTGCTGGCTGTCTGTGCCCTCGTGGATCGTGGGGCTGGACAAGCAACAAGAAAGCAAAGTTGAAGGAGCTCTTGAGCGGATCCCTGGTTCCCTGGCCTCTGTCTAACCATTCTTCTCGCAACAGGACTCCAATACCGTTTTAGCTGATGACAGCTCGGGTGGCCCGACAGCAGAAGTTGGTAGACCAGCTACAGGGGTGGATCAGATGTTTTTGTCCCAAATTTGCTACTCTAGTGGAGCTAGCTATCTAGCTATAGCTAGCTAGAAGCTACGAGTACTGTACGGGTAGTAGCTACTAATAGGGTGCGGTGGAAGCATGCAACACGAATGCGGTGGCAGGACACAATTTTTTAGGGTCATTGGGTGAACCTTCTCCTAAATCAAAATTCGGTTTTAGCTTCCGTAAGGGCACTCACTTTTTGCTACAATGTCATTATAGTATGACTGACTCTCTACTTCTGCTCCAGTGGTACTACTAGTACCATCGTTGGCACATCGCCACCAGACATCTATTACCCTTTTCTCCGAAGGGCCTACGGTACTCCAGACTCCGGAGCTCCTACATGTACATGTACAGCTCAAGGGAACGAGGAGAGGGATATACATGCAAAATAATGTACATACATGAACCGTTGGTGGATGTACTAAAAGTACAGTACGCGAGTAGGATGAGAGCCGCAGGACACGTACTGGTACTGATAACTTTTCCCCGCTGATGTGCTGGTACCACTTCGAGCTTCGTGCGAGCGTGCGAGTAACAAGCTTTAAACAAGGAACACACAATGTAAATATGTAAATATTCCACGTACTCGTGACTTTGCCGTAGAAAGTCGAAGCAAGGCAGCCTCCCAGACACGATAATGACTCGGTAATATGATCGTTTTGCTGCTGAAGATCCAGCTTGTGTACGCTTCCTTTATAGTCCGTTCACCTGAAGGTCAATAGACCCAATCCCGTCTTTTTGGCTTCTGTTCTGTTCGTAGTTTTTTAATTGCATTGTAAATCTCTGAGGACCCCTCTGTTTGTCACTATTCACCTTCTCTATTATCCTTGCGACACCCTAGCTCACTCATCCGTACGGCTATCCACAGGAGGCCTGTTCTCCTCTCCTCACAACATCAACCAATTTGTCCATAAAATCGACTTACTTTCCCACAAAATCCACTTTTCCAAGTCCTTGTTTTTCTCGACCTCCAACCAACGGTGTATTAGCTAGCTAGTACCAGTACATGATGCATTCTACTGCAGATTTTGACAACACAACCGAACAAAGAGGGGGATATCCCATGTCAACCATTTTCCCAGGAAAACATGGTGAGTTTATCTTGTGTTGCCCGTGTGCACAGTGTAGCTATCAAGCCAATAGCTAGCTAGATGTACCGGTAGGATGTACCGGTAGCCTATAGATAGAATGCAGTGCAAGTTTCTCCCAAGTAAGTTTGTTGCTAACATGCCGCTCGACTGTCACTCTACAACTCTACAAATCAGATCTATTGCTAGGTTAGTGAGGCTGTGTCTATTATAGTGCTTGAATAGCTACCAGTATGCATAACTACAGGAGTGCCAGTGCAAGTTCTCACCATGCACATTTTTGGGTATCTGTACTTGACAACAGGGAGGGGCGGAGAAACCAACAATCACAGGTACGTACCGTACCGGCACTAGTACTAGCTAGTACTACTGCCATAGTATGGAGACGTTTGTCTTTGATTTCAAACTCATCTTATCTTTGGAACTATTAATAGTGGCAACATCAACTTTCGAGGCCTGATTCAAGAGTACAAACAGGAATATCAGGCTGCATCCAAAGGCCAAAAGCCAGCAATTGCCAAGAAACTTGTCAAAAGGTGGAGGAACTTGGACCCACCTGGTCGTTTCTTAGCCAAAGAAGATGGCACAGAACGATGGGTTGATATTGGTGATGAAGCTGCCAGACGCAGAACCTCCAAGTCACTCGGGGAAAAGACCAAGCGTTCAAGTCCCAGTGCTGCCGCTACCGCACCAAGTTCTGGTAAGAAACGGAGACGAGATGATAGCTCTGATGAACTGCATCGATTAAGCAATCCCTCCTCCGAACTTCGGGAGCCTCAGGCATCTCCCAACTTGGCTTTCTCAAACTCCTTCGAACCCTTCGCGGGCACAGGAAGGCTGGGTACCACCAACACGTATGGAAGCAACGACAACCTTCAGCTGCAACCCAACCAGTCCTCGTCTTCACTGACATGCGGCGCTAGTACTATGACTCCTCAAACTGCGTCATACTCCTCGACTGGACAGGTCAAGTTACAGGGAGGCGCCACCTTGGCCACTGGTGCATATACCGGTACGCAGCAGGCAGGGGGTCGCTACCAAGTACCTTCCGCAGGCTCGAATGTTCACTATCACCTGGGAAGTCACATGGGCGGCGCTGGAACCAATGTAGTTGGGCATTCCCTAACATATGGCGGCCAAAGGAACGCAAACTCATCCGACTCGAATACCATCAGGTCACTACTGGACCCCCAGCAATGGCTTCAGTTGCACGCCACTTCGCTCGAGGACGTTCCTACTGCTGCAGATCTTCTTGCAAGTAATGTCTTCGCATCTTCAAGCTCCTCCGCAAGCGTCCAAAGTCCTCCAGACTCGAACAATGATCACAACCCACCAGAGTCTTCAGATCCCAATATATAGTCACCGTCACCGTCACCGTCACCCCACTAACGGTGGCTACAGCAACAACTGCACCTGGATACTGGCTCCGAGAACTATTTCTGGTATCAACTAGACCTACAACACCTCAAATCTAGTGCTGACAGCATGGTCCAAGTATTAGAGCACCGGTACTACATAACATGATTGTCTCCCAGCTGCTACAGTACCGTACCGGTACGTCAGCCCCCACAAGAAAAGAGGGCACTTGGCAAAAGGGCCCCTGGCCTGGAACCTGGAACATCACAGAAGTGTCAGCAAGCCGTACCGTAACGATGTATCCTGAGGCCTTGGCTGGACGTGGACGGGCTCATTGAGGCAAGCAAGTTTAGTTCACTCAAAGCAGCATCCAGAAGCATGAACCAACTGCAATAGACAGCCAATACCGTTACTACATGCAGTACGGTATAAGAGTGTCCACTACTTATGCTTCGTTAAAACTCTTATTAATAGAAGGCCAAGAGTACCGTATGGTGTCAGAAAGCCAATAGCTTGCTCTTGAATGGCCGCCCTTGCCTGGCAGCACCTTTTAGATGCTTGTTGCTTGGAATAAGCAAACACTGTTTAGCCTGAAGTGTCGAAAAGAGTACGGTAGGATAAGAAGTGGCAGCCCCAACAGGCAACAACAAGCCATAGAGCAAACTCAACTTTCCTAGCTAGGTGACAGCCGTGATGGATCGAGTTTTCTTTCTGTTGGCTGGCCCCTTTGGGCATGCTGATTGTTGCTGCATTCCCTCTTTTTCGCTCGGAAAAGAAAGGGTTGCTTCTCTATGGTGCCAGGTTCATAATGAATACTATTAATAGTACATGTACTAGTTCTACCAGGTATCAGCATGTAGCTGGCCATGATCATGACATGGTCAAGTCGACGGTGGAAGGTGATAGCATGTTACATACATGTAAAGGACCGTTGGCAACTTTTTGAGAAAAAGTGAAGCCATAGGTAGCACATTGGCTCCGTATACCGTGGACTAAGCCAGCCCCTGAGACCTGATCCCCCTTTCACCACTGCCCGCCACTGTCTTACCGGTTTTGTCAGCACCACCTTGCAACTGTTTACCACTTACCACTGTCAACCACTGTCTTTGTTGACAGTATCATGGTTTACCCCCGTCATGATCAGGCAAAGCCTATAACTGTCTTGGCCATGGTTTGTTTTGCCGCAGCGTGAAAAACGCAAAGCCTCGAGCCATGGTATAGCGGCCTATCAAAAGTGCTACCAGCAGTGGTTATAGAAAATACCGGTACCATGCTTCTGGATCAACGCTTATGAAGTCTTAAAGCGTGCTTGTGCTTATTGTAAACGCCAGCACATTGTTCTTGTACAACTACATGTAGTACCGTGCTCACGTCCTTTGTTGAGGACTTCCGAAGAAGGTGGTAGAATTTGAAGAACGTTGTTCGGTATTCGGTACGCGAAGAGGCAGTTGAGAGATCAGTCAGAAGTCAGAAGTCAGAAGAAGCTGCCTGAGACAGGTGCTCAACTACAACCTGGTAGCTAGCTACCGGTAGCTAGTAGTAGACTATCGTTCGGATTGTGGCTGTTGCAGTGTTGTCGTGATGTATTATTTTTAATAGACCTCTGTAATTATTGTAACTGAGTCATTCTAATCTCTGCGACAGGCTTCTCAAATTTTTACTAAGCCCTTAGGTCTGGGTATTCCTTTTACAATGCCTATTCTAAACATACCTCAAGCCCCATTCAAATTGATGTCTGGATGGATCAACAATTTGCAGCTATTTATTTGGCTCTCGTCAACACGGCTAGTCCGGTATTGATATCCCATGATGAGGTGGACACTCATCACTCATCACTCATCACTCATCATAGTCTAGTACTAGTAGACTAACATATATCTCATCCAACATCCAAAGACGCAAAGACTGAGGAGGATGTCCACGCCCATGTCCACCGAGTACCCGGGTCACCACGGTCAGTACCGTAGTACCGTAGTACCGTACAAGCTAGTAGTAGTCTATTGCTTTGCTTTCAAGTTGTTCCTTGCTTCTTGTTCTGTTTTCTTCCCATGCCATGCCATGCCATGCCATGCCATCATGCATAGCTATTGGCTTGCTTGGTTTAGCGTTTGCAAAATTTTCAAGAATCGAGATCTGCTCACGATTTTTGGTCGTGCTCTCTTTGACTTCCGCTACGAACTTGAATAGATTTGCTGCTGGGACGTGGAGGAGAGACCAACAATCATAGGTAAGTGCAGTAGAAGTAGAAGTAGAACAGTACAGCTACACTCATGTGTATCTCATTCATGTATGTCTATGTCCACAGTGGCAACATCAACTTTCGAAATCTCCTTGAAGCGTACCGCGAAGAATACCAGTCGGCACCCAAAACTCTGAAGCCAGAGGTTTCCACACGCCTGGTTGCACACTGGCGGGGCCTGGATCCACCTGGCAGATTCCTGGCCAAGCAAAAGAACACGGGGTTGTGGGTGGACATTGGTGATGAAGCAGCCAGAAAAAGAGCTTCCAAGTCACTAGGAGAGAGAGGCAGACTGTCAAATGTAGCACAGCCACCTCCTCCTAACTATGACTATGCATACAGCAGTGCAAGTATAACCAATGACAATGACACTCACACAATTTCTCAAACAGGAAAACGCAAGCGACAGGATATTGATGCGTCCCTGCAAAGACCAGTCAGGTCCAGTCTGAACACGAACGCAATGGCAATGGCAGTCCAACAACAGCCAGCCACTGCAACTGCCACTGCAACTGCCACTGCCACTGCTCCACAAGATCATGATACATGTAATGCCCAAGATATTCAAGAAGCTCAGAACGATGCCAGTATGGCCATGATGTTCATGCTGCATCAGCAAGGGAGTCTCAGTGTCCACCAACATCAACTTGTCTCCGCAAGAACTCCTACTGCTGCAGATCTCACTAATCAGATCTTTACCACCAGCGAATCTTCTTCTTCCAATGCAGACAACCTCAGCAATTGGTTGTCCACAATGTGGGAAGCTGATAATGAAGAATTGACGTGACGTGACGTGACGTGAATCGAATTGAAACAAAACAAAACGCAACGCAACGCAACGCAACGAGGATCAGGAAGAATAAGGAGGCTGGAACACACTCCTCACTGGGCCGGCTACCGGGAGCTATTGACGTCTTTCATGGCATGGGAGTGGTACCGGTACGGGTATGGTATCATGTCGTTCCGGCCCGGGCGGATCTGGTCTTTCACAGACGCCATCGAAACTGCCGTTACCAAAAATGACAATGCGATTCGATTCCTTGCATTTTTATGCTCAATGCTCTCTGCACTGTTATATACTTGTAGCTAGGCTACCGGTAGCTATAGATTACTGTATAAGGTACAGTACATGCAGACCAGCCAACTTGAAACTCCCATGTCTATGTCTATGGCTCAGCCACCCAAATTCTTTTGGTTTGACTCGACTCGACTCCGCTCGACTCGGTTCATGTTTGTTTGTGCTTTGGCTGTTGCTATTGCTATTGCAGCTACTGGAAGGTACGCTGTACCCCTGAAACTACTGTACATGTAGCTTGGCAGGTCCATGGACGCCTTGATTATCATCATGCTCGTAGATTTTTTGGACCATTGCCAAGGACGTACCGTATGCCATAGTCAGTTTATTACAGCCTTCATGGCTTGGCAATGGCGAATAAATCAATCGTATCATGACTGACGCTGCGTCAGAATGATGGTCCGAGGCTGATCATGTTCCTTGACCATTATTGCAGAAATCCAAACGAAGAATTAATAATAGGTTTGTCGCACATTGACTGGGCAACTACTTGTGCAAAAAAGATCTGAGTGACAATGGTGTGTTTTGGGTCGCTAGCTTCTGTACATGTAGCTTCTGATCGGAAGTGAAGGTGGAGCTTACTGATGCTTAAGTAGTGGAGAGAAGAGCCACTGTTGTCGGTGAAGTTTGGTTTGTGACTGATAAATAACCAAAGTGAAGGTCCAAGCGAAATGATTTGCCACTGAAATCCACTCGGTTCTTATTACTAGTAGCGACATGCTTCAATGACTTTGATCGATTTGAAGTATGTTTTACCATTGCTAAATGGAATTAGTTTCTATTTTGTACTTTTGTGGTGCATTGAATTACGCTGTGAATAGAATTGAAACTTTTTTAACAGCGACTAACTTGTCACAGAAGTTTCTCTATTGATTGTGTAGAAAGGACAGTTTGGTTCTGTGCAGTGTTACGTTGCTCGAATGAGTTTCCTTTAAATGAGAACGTGCAGCGACTGCTGCTGAAATACTCATACTACTAGTAGGACTGTGAACTGAGAACAGGTCCCAGCAAGGAGTGCCAGCGCTTAGTACCAGAGCTGTACCGGGTAGAGGCTTTGCGGACCAGAATGTCAGTGGTCATTAATTGCCTGCTGCAACTACTGCTGGCTCGCTTGTTGAGTCAGTACACAAGCTCTACACAGTATCTACTTAGTGTGGGGAACACTTCTTTATTCGTCAAACGCCCTCAAACGCAAGCCGCCAAGGAATGAATCGGCAATCGGCAACAACCAATCGAACAAGCAATCAAAAGGCAAACCCAACTCAACAGTCTCAAACCACAAGAAGTCAACAACGCCACAGCAACAGCAACAACACTATCGACTTGACTTGACTTCTATCGACTCGACTCGCTCTTCCATACTCCACTCGACCTCGCCTCCTCTAAGACTTCTCTTGCTAGCTAGCTAGTAGCTCTTGTTGCTCTTGCTGCTGCTACACACTACAAGACCAGACAGCCCCAGGCATCGCTCGTAGAATTCCTACTGACGTCTACGGAAAGTCTTTCGCGACCATACAGTATTGTACCAGTAGTCTACTGGCTAGTGCTAGACAAACGCTACGAGTACTCATTGTAAAACAGAAAAGGTCGACCATGGCGGAAGAAGAAGACGGCGTAAGGTACCCCGGTCAGCACGGTAAGTCTTCACGCATACCAGTACTGCGGTCCTGTAGGATTCTACGTAATCGTGGGTCTCGTCTGGCGTGGTCCCGAACTTCACGGTCAGCTGGCTCGCTGATCCACAGTCTGTCTGCCCAGACCAGCTAGGCAAAGCCAGCTAGTCTAGCCGCACTTGCTAGTCAGTCTACTAGCTAGATCTCACCCCACCTCCCTATTTCACTTGCTATTATACGTACTTACAGACTTCCTATTGGGAAGAGGAGGAGAGACCAACAACCACAGGTAAGCTACAGGATAGGTATTGTTAGCTTGTTATGCTGATGTGCTTGTGCATTGCACTTGCTGTCTGTTTGGCTTCATTTCTAACCTAACCTATGCCTCTCCTCTGTCTGTCTATTCATGTGCGCAGTGGAAACATCTTGTTCCGACAACTCATCAAGGATTACAAAGAAGCATACCAAAATGCACCCAAGACACAAAAGCCACTCATCAGCCAAAAACTCGTGGCAAAGTGGAGGTCTATGGACCCGCCTGGAAGATTCCTAGAACGATCTGACCCAGACAAGACATGGATGGATGTGGGCGACGCTGTGGCATGCAGAAAGACATCCAAGGCACTCGGGGAACGAGGAAAGAGAACCAAAACGGGAAACGCACCCCAGGACACCCATCCAGACACTGGACCAGCTCCTGCTTCTGCCTCTGCGCCACACGGTGGCGGGGTAACTCGCGCAGGATCCAAACGAAAGCCAGAAACCCAGCATCCAAGTGCTCCCCCCGCAAGTCAGCTCAAGCGGGCTCCTGCGTCCGTGCCGGCTGTTATCAACGTAACCATGCCCGCCCCACCACAGTCCAATCCAGCCATTGCAGCTGCTGCTAATGCTTCGTCCGCCGCCGCTGCTGCAAACAACACGGCCGCAAACGCACACTCTGCCACACAAGACCTATCAGCCGTCCTACAAGGTCTCGGGGTTCCAAATGCTGCAGCTTTGGCTGCTCAACCAAATACGTGTACCGGTACGGCTACTGGTACACCCAGCAACGCTGCCGATGCATTGCATGCGCTGCTCAAACAACAGCAACAGCAAAACAGGACACAGCAGCCAATTCAAGTCGCCAACATTGCGGCATTGTTGGGACAAAGCAGCAATGCAAACGCTGCGACGCTCCAAAACACCGCTGCTGCTGCCAATGTCAACGCACAAAGTTCAGACTTGAATGCGTTGTTGGAACAGCACAAGAAGAACAATGACATTGCCCTTCTTTTGAGAAATGCTTCCAATCCTCCGCCCGCAACCAACACAAACCCTGGTATTGCCGACGTTGCCGCGCTCTTGCAGCAGCAACAAGAACAAAGGAGAATCGAAAATATTTCGGCGCTTTTGGGACAAACGACTCCAGCGCAGGCTGCAAACTCGGGAACGGCAAACTTGGCTGCCTTACTCGGCGGCCAGCAGCAGCAGCAACCACAGCCTCAAGCTTCTCTGGCCGCATTGATGGAACAACAAAAGCAGCAACAGGCGCAGCAAACTTGTGGAATGGCTGGAATTGCCGCGCTATTGCAGCAGCAGCAACCACAGAGCGACGTTGCCGCGCTATTGCAGCAACAGCAACAGCAACAGCAACCACAGAGTAATAGTATTGCTGCTATTCTCCAGCAACAACCGCAGAACAATAACATTGCCGCTATTCTACAACAACAGCAGCAGCCACAAAATGATCTTTCCGCACTCTTGCAACAACGTCGCAGTAACGAGCAGCAGCAGTCCCAAAACATCGTTTTGTCGACTCTGGAACAGTTGCAGCCTCACCAGCGAACCCCACAAGTGCTGGCCTTGCTGTTGGAGCAGCAGCAGATACAGAACAGTTTGTCGTCGATTTTGGAGCAACAGGCACCTCCACAGCAACAGTCTAATTTGGCAACTCTGTTGGGCCAGCGGCAGCAGCAGCAAGCATCCCAGCAGAACCAAGACGCAGTTCATTCTGCCTTGGTGGCCGCTTTGGGTCTGCAGCAGCCACAACAGCAGCAGCAGCCATCCGATCTGGCGGCCATGCTCGCTCAGCGAAATCCCCCCGCAGCGGCCACAGCAGCCATCGACGTGGGGTCTCTCCTGTCCGCGGCCACTGGAGTTGCAACCGGAACTCAGCAGACGGCCACTGCAAACCCCGCACCCTCAGAGCGCAGTGCCGCTTTGGCAGAGGTGCTGTCTGTACTCTCCCGAACTGATCCCGAAAACAAGACGTTTGGCCAGGCGTCATCCACGACGGCACCGCTCGCCAACTTGGATGCGAGTCAGCTCCAGAGCCTGATGGCAAGGGCACAGGCTCCCACAGGTAATGCGGTTGCCGCCGCTTCGCTTCAACAAGGTACCATGGATCCTGCCCGTCTGCAGAGTCTCCTGGGTGGGGCGCAGGTATCTTCTCAGATCGCGTCGGCTGCTCCCGCCGCCTCTCTTTCGGATCAAGGACACCTGGCCAACATGCTTGCCGCAGCGGCCACAGCTACCGCGAATACCTCTGAAGGTAAGCGGCCAAGCAAGAACACGAGAGACTCCAAACCGGCTGCAAATGTCCTCACTGTGCCCAACCCTCCAAATTCTCACCAGACAACGGAACCTCAGGCGAACGCAAGTAATTCCAACCACCACCCCCCTCAGCAGAACTTCGGAGCAGGCAACGCCGCGTTGTTTGGAGTTTCGGGTCAAGGAATCCAGAGTCCTCTTGCTCTAACGCAGTCGTCGAGTTCAAACCCTCCTGGTTTGACATCGGCAGTTGGCAGACTCGATGCAGCTACTATTTTGCAATTTCTTCAGCAAAATGAAAATGAGGGTGGTCCAGGCACCGGAAGGCCCTAGCTAGCTGGAGACAAAGTGAGCACTCCTCTGATTGGAAGCCACGTCAAGAAAACGTGTTGTCGCTCTCGCTTCTGGTCCTTGTCCTTGACATTGCGAGTTCGTCCATAAATTTATATTATTTGCATGACAGATTAACGTTACTAAAAAGGAATACACGGTACACACGGGTGCGATGGCGTTGATTGGGGTGTTGGATTAACGATGTATCCTATCGACCGGCGCGCAGAGGCAGAAAGTGCCAATTCGAACCCCACCCCCACCCCAAATAGTGCATATTTTCTAGGGGGAGGGGAAGGCATCGATTTGGAGACATCTCGCTCTGAAAGGGAATCTCGAGGAGGGAATCCAAGTGGATGTGTATTTATCTATCTTTCTCATTACAGATTAACCATACACAAAGAAGGAAAGCTAGCTAGCTAATTTTCTATACTAAA